GCATGCAAAAGGGTGCAAGATACCAAGTTCCCATGTCAGGGTTCTCAAGCCAAGAAGGCTTGGCTGCTTTTCTGCATCCCAGCAGAGCTTCCCAGGAGCACAACCGTCTGAATACCCAGAGCTGTGGTGGGCTGAGGGGAATGTAGTGCAGTGGCCAAGGGTGGGAAGGATCCTAGTTAGAGAATGAGACCTGGCTGGGCCCAGAGGCTGTGGTGGTCCAGGGAGTAACCCTGGGCAGCTGCTCCTCCTCCCACAGGAACTTCATGCCACCCCCAACCCAGGTCCCCCACCTCCCAAAGAAAGTGGGACAAGCTTCCTCATGGCCCCCTATGCCCTCTTGTCCTAAGCCTGACCAGGCCAGGACCCTGCCTCTGTAGCCATCATGCCACTGTGAGCCTCACTCTCTGGGCTCCGGGTGCATGGTCCACCTTCCCTTCCTCCCCAGGGCCTTTGCACATGCTGTTCCCTCCTCCAGGTACAGGTCCTAACCTCCTTTCACCTATTCACTCCTCACTTTTCCCCAGGCCTTGATTTCCCTGGAAAGCCCTCCTCACCACGGATCACATCCATCCTGGGACTTCTCTATGTCATTTACTGGGACCTCAACAGGCTAGCAATGAGATGAGCTGTGGATGGCCCACATCCCTGGCTGAGGGATCCACACCCTTGTCTCTCACCGAGTGCTGAGCCTGGCCTCAGGGTGGCATTCCGTCATGCTGGCTGAGGGGACATGTGCAGAGGATGAGGCTGCACAAGGCCTACAGCAAACCCAACCTGGGCAGTCTGAGACATGGATGCTGATCTCATACACCTGTGTCAGGACCAACAGAAGGCACCCCCTGGGGATGCTCTGGATCCAAACATTGTAATGGTTACCCAGGCATATACACAGATCAAAACCAGCACGAGGTACACTTTACTGTATAACTGCTGCACCTCAATTAAAAAGTGTAAAACAGTTTTTCTGAAAGCATCTTCTGGGCTGAGGCAGGAGGACTGCTTGATGTAACTGAGGAGCTGAAGACCAGCCTGAGCAACATAGTGAGACCCAGAAAATTTTTCTAAAAAAAAATTTGTTTTTTAATTAGCCAGGCACAGTGGTGTGTACCTATAGTACTAGCTACTCAGGAGGCTGAGGCAGGAGAATCACTTGAGCCCAGGAGTTCAAGGCTGCAGTGAGCTAGCACTGTCCCACTGCACTCCAGCATGGGCAACAGAGCAAGACCCAGTCTCTCTATTAAAAAAAAAAAGGCATTTTCTTCAGCGTCAAGTTCTCTTCCCAGGAATCTTATCTCACACATATTGATACACAATTACCAATAGGAAACTGCCATCTGGGAGATGATTCTGGACAGTGTGAACAAGGCCACATCACTTGGCCCCTTGTGTCCTGGCTTCTTGGGCAGAACCCTCCTGCCCTCTGATCCTCCCGGTAAAGAGGTGCAGATGGGGCAGGGCTGAGGCTGGTCAGGACGCACTACAGGCTGCCACAAAAATCCAAGGTGGAGCCCTGAAGTCTGACATCGCATCAGAGCTTTGCTAGGCCTCACCATGTGACCCAGAGCAGGGGTTTCCTGTTGGTAAAGCAGGGATGCTGGCCTCTGCTGGCACCTCCAATGCCTGTGAGTCTGCCCCCCTGCCGCCCCGCTGCTGCCCTACAGTGGGTACTTCCTCAGCCCGGGAATCCTGTGCTTCACGTTCCAGGCCTCTGCCCTCTGCACACACCCCTCCACTCTCTAGCTGCTTCCCCAGTTTTTAAAACCTTCACAGTGGTCTACACCAAAACCAGAGTGTAAGGTGGGAGGCTATGCAATGGCTCACACCTGTAATCCCAGCACTTTGGGAAGTTGAGTGGGCAGATCACCTAAAGTCAGGAGTTCAAGACCAGCCTGGCCAACATGGTGAAACCCCGTCTCTACTAAATATATGAAAATTAGCCAGGCATGGTGGTACGCGTCTTGTAGTCCCAGCTACTAGGGAGGCTGAGGCAGGAGAATCACTTGAACTTGGGAACCAGAGGTTGCCATGAGCCAAGATCACACCACTGTACTCCAGCCTGGACAAGACAGTCAGAGTCAGACTCTGTCACCAAAAAAAAAAAAAGAATGTAAGGTTGGAAACCTAGAGTCCTAATATCCAGGCAGGGGTCGGGGGCCTAAGCTGCTCAACCTCCAGGGATGGCTCTTCAGGGTCGCCTATCATTTCTTTCCCTTGCAGGTGTTTCTGTGGATCCAGTCTGTGCAGGTGCTACGGGCGTCCACCCATGGGTAGGAGGCAGGGTGCAACAGAGGTCACTGCTGGGGATACCCGAATCCCTTAAGGGTCCCTCCCAGAGTCAAGTACCTGATAGACTAGGGGGTCGGGTGGCTGCAGTGCCTCAGGCCAGCCCCTGAGGAAGAGCGGCCACTCCGCTCCAGATGTGAAGTCCCTGCAGCACTCCGCACTGCACTGAGCCTGGGTGAGTGGGCTCTGCAGCACAGAGGGCCTCAGGTGAAAGCGGAGAGGTGGGCGTGGTAAGCCAGAGCACAGCCAGAGACAGTCTGAGAGGACAGAAGGCGCTGGTGTCCCAGCTCTTATGCAGTAACATAGCAGCTCTTCCCTCTCTAGGAGAGTTGAAGGCCCTCCTCATGCCAGGCACACAGCAGGCTTCAGAGGCCAGGAGTTACCAAGCTCCCACCTGGCAGAGCCCATCCACAGAGCTGCTCTTCCTACCATGTGCGTTCACTTAAAGACAGCAGCGGGGACAGCTGGAAGCTCTCAGAGCCAGGTATGCAGCAGGCACTCATTAAATGCTTGTCATGTGACTGGTATATAAAAATGCACTGTCCAGGGAGAAAAAGCAGACACGGAAGCCAAGGCCTAAGGGGGCAGTAGCTCCTCTCATAAGAATGAGGCTGGCGCTGCAGAATCCACCCACTTTTGTCCACCCCTTGGACACTACCTGGATCAGGCCCCATCATCTCCCACTGGAACCCTCCCCACAACATCCTAGAAGTGTCCCTGCTACTACTGATGCCTCCTCAGGCCACCCCACAGCTCTCCACAGAGCAGCCAGGGGGATCTCAGAACAAGGGGGAGCCCAGACCAGCAGACAGAAAAAAGATATGGGCAAGGGTCCTCTGGGGACTCACAAAGGTGACTTCACACCCAGGAGGCAATTAAAAGACTGACTTCTCCATACAGTCCAGGCAGGGGTCTGAACGGAAGAATGCAACACCACCTACAAAACATCCTCGCCCAAAAGTTCAAACCTGAATCTGATCACACTTCTAGATCAATCCACCGACTCACAGGAAATGCAAAGGTCAGAGCAACTTGCAAAGGTCCACCATCAGCAGAACCCAGGCAAAGGGAAACCCCACAGTTCTTCAACAATAGCTCCAAGTATAGAATGGATGAGTAAGAGAGATGAGAGAGAGGAAGGAAAGCCTACAGGCTGTGAGAGAAGCAAGACCCAACCATGAGAATGTGCCGCTCTTGACTGGACCGTGGTAATTTGAACAGAGTGGGTATGTGAGGATGTCAAAAAACCATTATTTGTCAAATGTGACTGTGATCCCGTGGTTATGTTGTTTAAACTCACCCTTTCATGAACCTTTGTACATTGTTTGTGGGAATGTAAATCAGTACAACCACTATGGAAAACAACATGGAGATGCCTCAGAAAAAAACAAAATAGAAGTATCATATGATCCAACAACCCCACTACTGGGCTGGGTATATAAAAGAAAGGAAATCAATATATCAAAGAGATAGCTACACACCCATGCTTACTGCAGCACTACTCCCAATAGCCAAGACATGGAATCAAACTACGTATCCATTAATGGACAAATAGATTTTAAAAATGTTATACATAGTGCAGTACTATTCAATCATAAGAAAGAATGAGATCCTGTCATTTGCAGCAACATGGATGGAACTGGAGGTCATTATGTTAAATGAAATAAGCCAGGCATGGAAAGCCAAAAATCACATTCTCACTCATAGTGGGGAGCTAAAAAAAAGTGGATCTCATGAAGATGGAGGGAAGATGGGCAGGTATCAGGGTTCAGGAAGAGCAGGGAGGATGGGGGAAGATAGGTTGAGTAACGGGTACAATACATAGGTAGAAGAAATGAGATGTAGTATTTGACAGATCAGTATGGTGACTATAGTTAACAATCTATTGTACATTTCAAAATACCTATGAGAATAATTCAACTATTTTTTTCTTTTCTTTATACTCTAAGCTATTCAAACTTGTGCACTTACATAATTCAACTATTTCTAAAGATAAATATTTAAGGATGGGTGCACTGGCTCACACCTGTATCTCAGCACTTTGGGAGGCAGAGGTGGGGGTGGGAGGATTGCTTGAGGCCAGGTGTTCAAGACCAGCTTAGGCGACATTGTGAAACCCCATGTCTACAAAATTATTTTTATTTTTATTATTTTTTTAAACAAAAATTTTTATTAGCTGGACATGGTGGCACACACCTGTAGTCCCAGCTACTTGGAAAGCTGAGGTGGGAGGATTGCTTAAGCTCAGGAGTTTGAGGTTACATGAGCTATGATCCTGCCACTGCACCCCAGCCTGGGTGACAGAGCAAGACCTTGTCTCAAAAACAAGTTATTTAGGATTTGGCTTACAATCACCCCAGGGATTAGGAGGACTTAAAAAAGAGGACCCCCACGAGGCGATGCTAACAAAGCTATGTGATGGGAACACGGAATTCCCATCCCCATCATCTCTTCTGGCTAATTCTGTACAGGTTTCAAATCTTCCATGATGAGATGGATTTTTGTAGTTGTTATTTGTTTGAAATCTCAGATCTCACTAGAGGAGTGAGGGAAAGTACAGAGGTGGGAGCAACTCTGTGGCACAGGCCTGGCCTACAAAGAGGGATTTCCAACAATTCCCCAGATGTTTGGGGTGTTCTGCAAGTGCTCATCACCAGCTTCCTTTTTCAAGTAAACTTTTAACCCATTTTTTAAAATCTCAGTTAACAAACACCCACCTCACATCCAGAAGGGACAGGATACAGTGCACTCTGTGACCGAGGCTGGCCCACTCACTATTTGTGATTTTCTGTGAAAGATAAGTACAGAATCGAAAGTCAGAGTGTAGAAACTTTTACAGTTTCATCATTGGACACAGCCGCCTCATGTCCGTTGAGTCTAATAAGCAGATAATGGGCTTATCTTTTCATATATCTTCAATTTTATCATAATAATTTTCATATTTTAAAAATTGGCCCATGAAAGATTACAACTTTAAAAACAATCATCTAGTCTTTCACCATGGAGAGTTTGAGAACCACTGTTATGGACCAGACATTGATCCCCTGGAGACCCCAAATCCATCCGTTAAGGAGATTCGTCAGAGATGCCAGAACAAAGCTTCCCTTCCCACTGCCTGCTGTGCCAACTCCAGTATTTCATATAAATACATCACAGGTGCTGCAAAGCCTATTTTATTTTCTGTGCTCACTGGCACACTTCCACAGCGGTACGAGCAGAGCCACTTCCAGCAGACACCTCTGTCGCTCAGGCCGGAGTGCAGGGGCAGGATCATAGCTCTCTGCAAGGTCCAGGTTGTGTGCTGGGTGCTCCTGTTGGTCAAAGCATCTTGGCCAGCCATGGTTAGCCAGCCAACTTTCACACACATGCCCACCACCATTTCCCCTTCAAACTTCTGGATGGGTTTAACTGCAGAGGGTCCTAAGACTGCAAGGTGAGCTGTTTGAAAAACTGACTGCGGCCGGGCGCGGTGGCTCACGCCTGTAATGCCAGCACTTTGGGAGGCCGAGGCGGGTGGATCATGAGGTCAAGAGATCGAGACCATCCTGGTCAACGTGGTGATACCCCGTCTCTACTAAAAATACAAAAAAAAATTAGCTGGGCACGGTGGTGCGTGCCTGTAATCCCAGCTACTCAGGAGGCTGAGGCAGGAGAATTGCCTGAACCCAGGAGGCAGAGGTTGCAGTGAGCCGAGATCGCGCCATTGCACTCCAGCCAGGGTAACAAGAGCGAAACTCCGAAACTCTGTCTCAAAAAAAAAAAAAAAAAAAAAGAAAAATTGACTGCTTCTTTGTATCAACTGGAAATCACTCTATCACTAAAGTACTGAAATACATCAGGAGTTGGGGCTAGTGTAAGACATCAACCTGCACTCATGGCCTCTGGTTTCTAGTGTGCTCCTGAAAATGTCATCACTATTCTAACTATGATACACACACACAAATCACAAACATGAAGTTATAAAACAAACTCACAGCTGGGCGCAGTGGCTCACGCCTGTAATCCCAGCACTTTGGGAGGCCGAGGTGGACAGATCACCTGAGGTAAGGAGTTTGAGACCAGCCTGGCCAACATGGTGAAACCCCATCTCTACTGCAAATCCAAAAATTAGCCAGGCATGGTGGAGGGCACCTGTAATCCCAGCTACTCAGGAGGCTGAGTAAGGGGAATCGCTTGAACCCAGGAGGCAGAGTTGCAGTGAGCTGAGATTGCACCATTGCATGCTAGCCTTGGAGACAAGAGCGAAACTCCATCTCAAAATAAATCAATAAAATAAACTCACACTAATATGGAAGGTCGCCTGAGTTGGTGTCATGCATTGAGGTTCCATGCTCAAGTTTCACTATATTAAAAGAGAATTGAAAGTGGCTGGTAGTGAAGATCCTTAAGTTGCAGCCTCCACTCTGCTACCACTCAGGGTTTAGCATCCCTGGGCCTCAGTTTCCTCATCTACCCAATGAGAATGCAACCACTCATTTCATGGGTTTTGTTGAGGGCAAAAGAAAATAAGAGCTAAACATACACTTCAAAGAATTAAAAGGACCAGGTGCAGCAGCTCATGCCTGTAATCCTAGCACTTTGGGAGGCCAAGGCAGAAGCAATGCTTGAGGTCAGAAGTTCAATATCAGCCTGGGTAACATAGCAAGATCTCATCTCTAAAACATAATAAAGAAAGAAAAAATTATCCTGGCATGGTGATGCACACCTGTAGTCCTACCTACTTGGGAGGCTGAGGCAGAAGAGTCGCTTGAGCTTAGTGAGCTAAGAGCACCACTGCACTCCAGGCTTGGCAACAGAACTATACACTGTGTTGAAAAAAAAAAGGAAAGAAAAGTACGAAGCTAAAACTACATGGTGATCTTATCAAGTTTACAGCATGGCCTGAGTTTCATCCTCCCTCTTCTTACATACCCTCACTCATTTCATTTCGTCCTCCATAAAGTGTGGAATGTGATGCTACATCTATGACCAATAATATTACTAACAACAAATAAATTCAAGTATCATGGATCAAAAAACATACCACCGACCCTGCGGCATGTGCCCAATGTAGGGCCCACCATAGGATGATAGGGTGGTCCTCCCTGCGGCCCTGTGAGGCTAACTCCATCACTCCTTTTTACAGATGGAGCTTTGAGAGGAAGACAATAGTACCTGCACCCTCTGCATTTGAGGCTTTCCTCCAGGCCCCAGTGTGATAACAATGTGAAAATCACTGCAAGTTCCCAGGAGACAAGGCACAGGGACCACAGCCATGAACAGGACACATGTATGTGACCTCACAGGAACCAGTAGGAGTGGTATTAAGGATGAGTTAACACCTGGCCTGAGTCTGTGGGCTTTCCAGGGCCAGCTCCTCCTACTGGGGCAGAGAAAATGCAGTTTTGTAGCCCTGCTGGGAACAGTACGGTGCAAGCCCTCAGTGTGGCTTCAGGGTCTCTCCCTTGAAGCAGGGATTAAAGGTGACCTGCCAAACTTAACCAGCTGGAGCAGAAAATGGGGTTGAGGGAGCACTGAGGCCAGGAGTGCTCCCAACAGCTCCCATCCCAGGTCAGGCTCACCACCGGGGACCCTGGGAGACAGCCAGTAGGTGCCAGAAACGGCTTACTCTTCATAAGACAATGAATCCGCTGTTGACCAGCCAGGGCCTTGATTAATATTTGCAAAAGAATGAAGTGGAAAATTCCACCTGTGTGGGTGGAGACTGGACCCTCGGGACATGTCAACAACCCTGATGGCCTTGTTCTTCCCGGGATGGATCAGGCCAAGAAGCAAAGGTCTGAATAACAGTGACTGAATCTGGAATTACGGTGATTCTTGGGTGGTAGGGAATTGCCCTCTTTTTCTTTTTCTTTTTTTTTTTTTTTTTTGAGACGGAGTTTCGCTCCTGTTACCCAGTCTGGAGTGCAATGGCGCAATCTCGGCTCACCGCAACCTCCGCCCCCTGGGTTCAGGCAATTCTCCTGCCTCAGCCTCCCGAGTAGCTGGGACTACAGGCACGCGCCACCATGCCCAGCTAATTTTTTGTACTTTTTAGTAGAGACGGGGTTTCACCATGTTGACCAGGATGGTCTCGATCTGTTGACCTCATGATCCACCCGCCTCGGCCTCCCAAAGTGCTGGGATTACAGGCTTGAGCCACCGCGCCCGGCCCTCTTTTTCTTTTTCTTTGGTTCTGCCTCTCCTGCCCCTAAATTTACACAGCACTCTTAAATCCTTCAACTTGCTTTCCTATCTACTGTTTCTTCTGAGTTTCCTAACCACCCTGCTGAGGAGGCAGAACTGATGTCAGCCCCATGTTACAGATGGAGAAACTGAGGCTGAAGACCAAGAGCCTCACCCAAGGCCACCAGATGGTGACCGAGTTGCAGAACCAGGTGGTCTGGAAGCCAGGCATCTCACCATGCCGTGGCTGCACAGAGCCTGTCCTGAGGGTCTGGGTCAGAAACATGGGGGCTTGACACACGGGTTTTCCAGGCTCTCACAGAGGCCCTGACCTTTGCTCTGCTTATGAAGAAAGAGGAGGAAGTTCAAACCACCTCCCCCGGGTGGGCAGGCTCAGGCACTGGCCTTGGAGGAAGGTATGTGTTAATGTATTCATCCATTCAAGCATTTAACGAGCACTTACTAATCCCCCAGATAGGAATGCACACTGTGGGGTAGCTCTTTCAGAAACCCAGACCTAGCAGAATTTATGACTGAAGGGAGAAAGTCAGAAAATCTCCAAAGGTCGCTTCTCTCATAGACTCAAATCACTTCATTGCCCCTATCACCACCACACTGTACAGAAAAGGAGACTGTTCTGAGATGAGCAGTGACTTGCCAGGGCCTCCACTTCAAAATGCCACTGGCTTAGGCAGCCAAACAAATCGTGTCCCTTCCGGCAGGCCACCTGGGACCTCTCAATCAAGGCCACTTGAGGCATGGCCTTCTGCAGGGAGAAAACCCCCCAAGGGGACAGGCAGACACACCGTTTGCCCACTTCAACCTCCAGCTTTGGCTGCAGGGCCCTTCACACCCTCCCCTCCCACCCCCCACTCCACAGCCAGGTATCATCCATCCCTAAGCCCCAGGGGGGCCAGGGCAGTGTCATTCTGAAGCCAGAACAGTACCAACCAGCCTCAGGCCAGTGCCCTTGGTCTCTCTGCCTCATCTGACCCCACAAGCTCCTCCCTCACTACTGGGCTTTCTTGCTGCAACCACTCCCAGACTTCCCCACCTCCTCTGGCAAGCTCTCCTCTCGGGGCTCCATCCTCCTCTCCTCTCTACTGACCCCTAAGAAAGTCTGACTCACAAACCCTGTCTCCAGGCCTAACCTCTGCATCCCTAGTTGTCTCAAAGCCCATGTGCCCATCAGCACCAAGCTCGCCGCAGCAGGGCCAGCCCTGGTGCACAACTGAAAAGCCAGCACAGCCTGGAGCCTGGCCCACAGCACAGAATAGATACCCACGGAATGAAGGACTAGCCCTCTACCTGCCCTGCAGAGCCACGCAGGTGGCCCTTCTAAAACTGAAAATTGACCACCATCTAAGCCCGCAGCACTGGTCCTCAGCACCACGGGACAAAGTTCAGTCTTCAGCTTACAGACCAGGCTGTTTTCACCTGGGCTTCCACAGCAGGGCAGGCACTTGTGTCCTTGAATATACTCCTCCCGGCGCTCATCCTCTCTCCATAAATACCCATGAGCCAGTACCTATGTGTCGTTCACCTTTGCACCTGGCACCCAGCAGGTGTACAGGAAGATGACTATTAGAGCTGAAAATCTTCTCGGGGGCCACAGGACCCAAAGCAACTCAGAGGTGGAATGAGGGGCTCAGGGCGGCCCAGCCCCAGGCAGGGGTGCGGCCGCAACCTCAACTGAGTTCCCTGGTCAGGAACCAGAGGAATTCTCTGAGAACGCTACCTGCAGCTCCACACGTATGCAGGCCAGGGCCCAAACCCCTGGCTGATCCCCACTCCACGCAAGCCCTAACCAAGCTGGTAGGTGGGCCAGGCCTGACACACAAGTAAGGGCCTCAGCTAAAACAGCCGCTTGACTCAGTACAACCTCTCACCAGCTGGCAACACATCCCTAAGTTCCATACCCCTCTCTAGGTCTCCGTCTTCCCATCTGTAGAATGGAGCTAATTCCACCTACAAGTTTAAACGGCCCTGAGTTGGTCACCACAACTCTGTCGTTTGTAAACTGAGGGGGCTGAAGAAGCACTCCAGCCTCTGACTCCACCGTTAGCCCAGGTGATCTCTGTGAACTCTCCCCCAGACCACTGCGTCTCAAAGGATGGTCCCGGGGCCACCCGCCCACGAATTACGGGGGCTTGGGTTGAGGCTGCTTAAATGCAGATCCCGGGCCTGACCCGGACCCGCCGTCCGGATTTCATTTTAGGCGGCGCTCAGAGATCCCAGGCCAGGGAAACTTGAGAACCGCAGCTCCAAGGCGCCGGTGCTGATGGCCTCCGCTCTGGGAGCCCCAGGTGCTACTGTCCGAACTCACTTGGTGGAAACACATTTACCAGAAAGCCTGGGGTCGGCGCTGGGCATTCCTACCATTCTAAAACCGCGTAGCTGAAAGAACTCGCTCCCTCCAAGGAGTCCGTGAGCTTCCGCAGCCCCGGTTCCACCCCTTTCGCCACGCGGGACGGGGCGGTTGTGTAAAGCGAGCCCAAGTCTCGGCGTCCAGCCTGGCCTCGGGCCCCCAGGCCTCTCCCGGCTCCCGGCCCGGCGGCGCCGCTGCGGGGCGGTTCGGGGGTGGTCATGGCGCAACCCCGGCTACTCACCCGGGACGGCTCGGACGAGGGCCGGACAGTCGAGGCCCGGAGCGGGCGGCCTGGCCCGGCCCCTGCTCCTCGGCACTTTAACCGGCGGCGCCTGCACCCCGCGCGCTCTCCGCGTCCGGAAGAGGGACGCGGGCGTTCCGACCCAGTCTGCCTCGGGGCCGCGACCGGGACGCCAAGCTAGCCAGGCTCGGGAGCAGGCGGCGGGGCACCTGGCTCACTGCACGCAGGTGTGCGCGGGGGCGGCGCGCGCCGCAGCTGCCAGAGCTTTGCCCACGCGGACGCAGCCCACCCCTCCGAGCCCCTGCGGGTAAGGGCGCTGCAACCTGTCCAGCTGGGAGAGGGCAGGCAGGCCCGCCCTCTGTCCGGGTGGCGGGGCTGGGCCGGCGCTGCGAGAGGCGGAGCCGAGAAGGGTCGGCCCCGAGGCGCCGGGATAAGAGCGCAGCGTGCGGCCGGCCGGGGTCCCGCGCGGTGGCTCCGCGATGTCGCTCTTGCTACTGAGCCTGGCCGCCCTGTGTAGGAGCGCCGTATCCCGAGAGCCGGTAAGCCCCCGCCAGCACCCCTTCCCGCGTCTCCCGGCCCTGGGGCCCAGATCCTGACGTCGTCTGACCCGCCTGCCGAGGCTGTCCCGAAAGAGTGCACGGATCGTCGGCTAGAGGGGCACGCCTGTACCCTCCGGGCAGCCCCCAACATCGGCCGGCGTCAGGCTGCTTGAGTCAGGGGCGTGGGAATCAGGCAGACCCAGTGTCAGATGCCACCCTGTCCTGTTGGTTCTGTGATTTATGCTCACCAAGCTCCAAGTCCTGAACGGTAAAACGAAGGGCAGTACCAAGCCCACCAGGGTCTCTTAAGGAACGACGACGGCAAGGGGCCTGGCACATAGTCGTTACTAGTTATTGTTACTTGGGGTCTGCTCACCTGTTGGGGCACAATAACTTTCTCCGCTAGCATCCTCTCCCTTTTTGGCCATGTTGATTGCCCTCTTCATTCGTGAAGGCAGTTTCCTTTCTTCCCCAGTGCCCTGAATGACAGGGAATCTTCTGCTTCACTGAAGAGAAAATAGCTCATCCCCTAAATAACCTTTGAAATGATACCCCTGCCCTCAGCATAGCATATAGCATCAAGCTCGGTAGTTACCTGTTAGTGGTCAAACTCCATTCACTGTTTCCTCCTGTCTTCAGCTCCTATCCTTCCCCTCTGTGTCAGTTCAGCGGCTCCCTTGGCTTTTTGCACTGGAGTGAAGAATTCATTCCTTTTGCCGTAGTTGCTACAAGGCCAACAATTTGAGCTTGGTAGCATTTGGGGTTGTTGCTTGGCTTGTCTCACCAGCCCTTTGATAAGAACTCAGCTCCTGGTATGACAAAAAAGAAAGAAAGAAAGAAAAAAGTCTGGTTGGACACAGTGGCTCACGCCTGTAGTCCCAACACTTTGGGAGGCCGAGGCAGGTGGATCACCTGAGCTCAGGGTTTGAGACCAACCTGGCTAACACGGTGAAAACCCATCTCTACTGAAAATACAAAAAGTAGCCAGGCAGGGTGGTGGGCACCTGTAATCCCAGCTACTCAGGAGACTGAGGCAGAAGAATCACTTGAACCCAGGAGGCAGAGGTTACAGTGAGCTGAGATCACACCACTGCACTCCAGCCTGGGCCACAGAGCGAGACTCTGTCTCAAAAAAAAAGAAAAAGAAAAAAGTCTGATGCTATCCCTTAGAGTTCATTTTTTTAAAAGACAAATAAATGATTGACAATTTTGCCCAAACTCAAATCACTCAAACCATCCAAAGGAGGTCTTAGTGTTTGGAAATGTGGATGCTCAGCAGGGTCAGATTACAGAGCTGCTGGACATATCACATTGAGTCTTGTCATTTGAACTTGCTGCTGCCTAAAGGCTCAATATTTTAGGTTCAGTCTTTTATTCCAGAACCAAAGCACATATTATCTTTTCTTATGAAAAAACACAAGCAGTTAATTTCAAAAGATTTAGTACCAGCCTTTCTTGAACAGGAATAATAATATTTAGTTGTTGACAGCTCTTTTAAAAAGATAATATGGTGCAATCACAGTTACTTATGGTTTCCTAAATTGCTCAGTGAGTCCTTCTGTGTTAGAAGGGGAATATTTTACAGAGCCTGAGGGAAGTACCTTGCAACTGCATTCAAAGCTTTCTTTTGTTTATCTCTTTAGCATAGCTACTCCTTAACCTGGGGAAACTCAGTCAATACTCCAGGTCATCCTAAAAACCTAGTGTTAAACATTAGAGTGTAAAGGTGCCTCACATCAGTCTCAGTCATCCCCTGCTTGCAGCAGGGAAGGCTGACACCCAGAAATGGGTGGAGACCCACCTCTGGTCTTTTAGTGAGGTTATGCACAGGCTTGAGGATCAGGCATACTGATGGCTAATCCATGGTCCATCATAGCCTACAGTGGGCAGCTTAATTTCCCCCTAAGCTGTGAAGCAGAACCAGTTCATCTTTTCTTTGAAAGTTTGTCACTTGTATATGCATTTAAGGGAAAAATGGTGTTCTGCCGAATTTGGCAAAGGAAAGCTTGTGGTTTGATGGCTTCAACATGACGCTCATTTTTTTTCTCTCCCACAGACCATTCAATGTGGCCCTGAAACTGGTAGGTGCATTACAGAATGGGTATTTGGAGCTTTACATTGAAAGCACAGTTGGACTTTTAGGAGGCCTAAATACAGGCAGTAGGTTATCAAAGACCAGGCACAGGGTGAACCATTGCTTTGTTGGCTGATGCAGATGAAGTCTCTGTCTGCTCAAGGCAGAACTCTGGGGTCTGGGGGAAAAAAGAGTGTTTCAGACAGGCTGGCCTCCCGGCCAGTCAGGGTGGGGCTTACCTTACAAGGGGGAAGGTGATGCCTGCCACTCTGCAGAGGGAGATAGAGGCCGTGGGAAGGTCATTTAGAGTTGGGATCAAGAAGCAAATGTTTCAAAGAAGAGCGGGTGTTCAAGATGGTGGTATTTGAAGAATAGGTAGGCTTCTGCCCAAAAAATGTGCGTAGGGAAAGTGAGCTGGAGGAGAGACGGCACCAGCAAAGTTAGGAGGTGGGAAAGTTGTGTGGGACAGCTGCTGGCTGGAGCCCAGGGCCGAGGCATGAGGAAGACAGGGCTGACTCTAATAAACATGTCAAGTGCACTGAATATATATACCTATGTATATACACAAGCACCTAGATTGGTCCTAAGTGCTCTGTAGGTGGAGGCCAGGTGGTTGAGAGTACTTCTCTTAAATCAATATGTCTCTGATATAAATCAGCCAGTACTAAGAAACATTTGGCCTTAGCAGGAAGACGTGAGGAATTGTTGGATGAGGTAGCTCACACCTATAATCCCAACACTTTGGGTCGCTGAGGCAAGAGGATCATTTGAGACCAGGAGTTTGAGACCAGCTTAGGCAACAGTGAGACCCCATCTCTACAAAAATTTAAAATAAGAAAGAAGTGAGGAATTGTGAATGGAGGAAGGTTTGGGGTGGGTCACTGAGAGGAGATAGCATCAGACTGGGCCGGGAAGGAGAGTGTCCTAGAAGTCTTGCCTTTTCCCAGGGCCATCTCCAGAGTGGATGCTACAACATGACCTAACCCCTGGAGACTTGAAGGACCTCCGAGTGGAAACTGTTAAAACAAATGTTGCAACAGGGGACTATTCAATTTTGATGAATATAAGCTGGGTACTCCGGGCAGATGGTAAGTTTGCATCCATCAAAGATAAGGCTGAAAGTGTCTACTAAACCAGAAATGTTCAGACTATATGAACCGTTAATTCCATTCCTAGGCGTAACCGACAGAAATACATACATGCATGCACCAAAAGCCACATACTAGGATGATCTTAGTGGCACTACTCATCACAGACAACATTAGAAAGCACTCAAATGCCCAGCAGTAGAAAGGAATCACCATATAAATTCCCTTACAGCAACAAGAATGATCTATAACTACACACAACAATATGGATGAATCTCACAAACATAAGAAGGCAGATTCAAAAGAGTTTGTACATTTATATCTGTGTGCATGCCTGTAGGCATACATGCCATATGATCCCACTTATAGAAAGTGCAAAACAGGCAAAACCAATCCATTGGTTAGAAGTCAAGATAGTGGTGGAGTGCAATGGCTCATGCCTGTATTCCCAGCACTTTGGGAGGCCAAGGTGGGTGAGTTGCTTGAGGCCAGACATTCGAGACCAGCCTGGCCAACATGGTGAAACCCTGTCTCAACTAAAAATACAAAAATTAGCCAGGCATGGTGGTGAGCACCTTTAATCCCAGCTACTCAGGAGACAGAGGCACAAGAATTGCTTGAACCCAGGAGGCAGAGGTTGCAGTGAGCTGAGATCACGCCATTCCACTCCAGCAGCCTGGGCAACAGAGTGAAACTATGTCTTTAAAAAAAAAAAAGGCCTGGCGCAGTGGCTCTTACCTATAATTTCAACAGTTTTGGAGGCACAGGTAGACTGATCACTTGAGGTCAGGAGTTCGAGATTAGCCTGGCCGACATGTTGAAACTCTACTAAAAATACAAAAATTAGCCAAGTGTAGTACACACCTGTAATCCCAGCTACTTGGGAGGCTGAAAGTCTATTCAGTCAAGAATCCATGAGTGGCAGGCACAGAGAGTCACCTACAGTCTCCACCTAGGAAGATTCAGAGGGGTAGGGGAGGCAGACACAGGCACAGTGTCAAGGGAGTCCCAGAAGGGAGCTGTGCTCCATCTGAGTGGGATATAGTGGGAGGACTGGGAAAGGGGCCCTGAGAAGCTGTTTTAGGTAAGATGGGGCCATGAGGGTATGGGGCCTTACCTGGCACAGTGAGCTCTTTGTCAGCTGTGGTTATAGTCTGCAGTGCATGAGTGAGTTGGACTTTAAAGGAGTGAGACTTGAAGAGGTAGGGAATGGGAGGAAAGGACCTTCCAGGAAGAAGAATCAGCATGGATAAAGGTGCAGTCGGAATAGGCGTGGTTTGGTGATGACACTCTTGGAGGGTCTTTGTGGGCTTCCCGGAGGCCAGCCTGTTCCTCTTAAAAGAGACCCAGACATCTTTGCAGGCATCCTGTGAAATTCAGGCTGACCTGTGAGGTGGAGGGAGCTTGGGCTTTGGAATCTGAATCAGCTACTGGTGAGCTTTATTAGTTTAAGAAGAGCTCCCTGAAACTCTACTAAGCCTCACGATCCCCATCTGTAAACTGCAGACAGTGGTGCCTACCTTTCAGTGCTGTTGTTAATATGAGCTGAGACATAAAGTAAAGCATGCTAGTAAAGCATCTAGCATCAAGTCAGCCACATAGCAAGTGCTAAATAAACCAATGCCCTCTTGCCCATCTCGGCAGCCAGCATCCGCTTGTTGAAGGCCACCAAGATATGTGTGACAGGAAAAAGCAACTTCCAGTCCCACAGCTGTGTGAGGTGCAATTACACAGAGGCCTTCCAGACTCAGACCAGACCCTCTGGCGGCAAAGTAAGCACCTTTTTGGGTTTCATTTCGTTTTGTTTTGTTTCTAGAGATAGTCTTGTTCTATCACCCAGGCTGGAGTGCAGTGGTGCGATCATGGCTAACTGCAACCTCAACCTCCTAGGCTCAATCGATCCTCCCACCTCAGCCTCCAAGTAGCTGGGAATACAGGCATGAGCCACCAGGCCTGGCTAAGTTTTATAGTTTTTGTAGAGATAGGGTTTCACCATGCTGCTGGTCTTGAATTCCTGGGCTCAAGCAATCTGCTTGCCTCAGCCTCCCAAAGTGCTGGGATTACAGGTATGAGCCACTGCGCCCAGCCAGAGGCACTTTTATGCATTTGGCTAATTGCTGCTGAAAGCTAGGCCCTTTGTTTGGGGAGCATGGATGATGTGCTGCTCACACAGGCTGGAAAATAGTTATGACTCAGAGCTTGGAGGAAGATGCAAGTTCCAGTCCCATTTTTAGCTACTTCTCTATTCTGTGCTGTTGGTAAGTCAGCATCTCTGGGCCTCAGTTTTTCTCTACCAGCGAAGGGAAGAGAACCAGACTTCAATTATATGCTGGCTTTAAAACTTTACTTCTCTGATTCTATAAATTGTGTGGTGCCCATTTTCTAAGTAGACATTGGCCGGAGACCTAAGTTCTCACAGCATAAGTAATGAAATACAAAGTAAAAGGACAACACACAAAAGTATACTGTTTCTGTATTGCACAGTGTTTTGGGAATTGAGAGTTCCTTGCTTTGCCTTTCAGTGGACGTTTTCCTACATAGGCTTTCCTGTGGAGCTGAACACAGTCTATTTCATTGGAGCCCATAATATTCCTAATGCAAATATGAATGAAGATGGCCCTACCATGTCTGTGAATTTCACCTCACCAGGTAAACTTCCTCACTCGTTTATTATTCTTTGTCTTGTTGGGATGCCTACTTTGGGATAGGTGCAGAGAGAGCCCAGGGAACCTTGGATAAGGCTTTTGACCTTAACAAATCTCAGTTCCCTTACCTATAGCATGGACACAGTAGTAACCATGCTTTACCCACAGAGCAGAGAGGATAAAGTCAGGTGAAATGTAGGACAAAGCCTGTTCCTGTGTTCTGAGCACTGTGCTGAATCCTTGACATGCATCATCTCACTTAAGCATCCCAACAACCCCAAGGTTGGGAGAGCTGCATTTTTTACATGAAGAAACTGAGAGGTTACATCACTTTCCCTGGGTTATACACACAGTAAAAGTGAAGCTGACATTGGCACTCTGGTTCTTTTAGAGCAATGCACTTGAGCCACTCTTTGTATCCCTGATGCAAAATGTTTGTTCATTCCAGTCTCAGCTTTCTTGAGTGGGCTGCCTGTGACTGGGCCTCTGAGGATCTACAGCCTCCAGTCGGCTTGTCCCCGAGCGGTCCACGAGAGGCAGGGTGGTCCTGAGTTGAATGCTGGGCTCTTGCCCCAGCTTTGTGACACAGGTCCAGTTCTCTAGTACAATGTCACACACGGGGCTGTGATGAGGAGAGACAGGATGGTGTGTGTGAAGGGTCCATTCAAGCTGAGTCACCCATTCCATACCCCCATCCTGTCATCTGTCTCAGACAAGGTGTCAAAGCCAAATGGGTAATTTCCAATTCACGGCTGGTCTTGGAGACTGTGGTCCAGGGTGTTTTTGGTGCTGCACCATTTATTACACATGGTTTACAGCTTTCTTGATGAGACCAAACCTCATTTTGTTTTTAAATAAGCTTTTTTATTTTGGAATTATTTTATTTACTTTTTTTTTTTTTAAATGTTGTTTCGATCTTGTTGCCCAGGCTGCAGTGCAATGGCACCATCTTGGCTCACTGCAACCTACACCTCCCAGGTTCAAGCAATTTTCCTGCCTCAGCCTCCCAAGTACCTGGGACTACAGGCATGCGTCACCACACCTGGCTAAGTTTTGTATTTTAGTAGAGATGGAATTTCACCATATTGTCCAGGCTAGTCTTGAACTCCTGACCTTGGGTGATCCACCCATCTCGGCTTCCCAAAGTGCTAGGATTACAGGCATGAGCCACTGCACCCAGCCTTATGTTGGAATAATTTTAGATTTTCAGAAAAGTTGCAAAGATAGTACAAAGAGTTTCCATATACCTCTCACCCAGCTTCTCCTATTGTTAACGTCTTATATTACCAGGATATATTTGTCAAAACTCAGAGGCCAACATTAGTACACGTCTGTTAACTAAACTCCAGACTTTATTTGGATTTCACCTGCTTTTTCATGAATGTCCTTTCTGTTCCAGTTGCATTTAGTCCTTTGTGTAGCCTTAGTCTGCTCTGGTCTGTAAGTTTCTTAGTCTTTGTTTTTCAGGACCTTGACAGTCTTGAGTCCTGGCCAGGCATCCTGTAGAATGTCCCCCAGTTTGGGTTTGTCTGATGTTTATCTCATGATTAGACTGGGAATTCATACCACAGAGGTGCTGGGCCCTTCTTATTGCATCTCATCAGGGGTGTATGGCACCCTGATGACACCAGGTGAGGGTCACCTCAACACTAGATTAATGTGGTGCCTGCCAGCTTTCTTCATGTAAATATACTGTTTTTCCCAACTCCCATTTTTGGAAACAAGTCACTAATTCTACCCCACCCTGAAGTGAAGGTATGGAAGTATTAGGCTTCACACCTAGAAAGGACAGGCAGTGTCTACAGATAATACCAAATGTCATTTTCAAATGGTGGATGGCTTTCAAGTTTTCTCTTAGGTATCAAAGATACTGTTTCAATAAAGGCTGTATTTAAATTAGACTTTTGTTACCAAGTCATGGGAGGATGATCTTCTGTTTAACAGTAAAATGTTAGAGCCACATTTGAATTTGCTATCTTACATCTGGAATGTTTTGGCAGTTTGTTACAGGTGTGGTATGCGTATGTGTGTATGTACTTGATGGCAAGGGGGGTGGGGCAGAGATACCCTTTTCTAAAATGTAAAAGCTTTCATTCAAATTTCCAGGCTGCCTAGACCACATAATGAAATATAAAAAGAAGTGTGTCACGGCCGGTAAGTAAATACAGCATTTGCTTTTATTATTTGAAGAAACGTGTAACTTGAGGCAGCATAGGTCTCTTCATCTTTGCACAGATGAAAAAACTGAGGCCTAGGGGAGTGTCGCATATCCAAGTCACCCTGATGGTGGTGGCAGAAGCACCTAGAGCTCCTCATCTCCTGCCAGCACTTTGCCCACTGACTGGAGCAGCCTGTCCAGGAAGGGATAGACCCTCAGTATATTTACATAGCAGAGCAGTAGTCACAAAGAACCACCCCTACCCTCTTGGTTAACAATATTTTAGCCCAAATGCTCAGTGGTGCCAATCAAAGGCTCTTCCTGATGGATGGGAGTCCTATGAGCCCTTCCACCTGCTCAGACACCAGCACCACCCACCTGTGGCCATGGGAACCCTAAGAACCTTCTGTTTGGATTAGCAAACATTCAAGGTGGAAGTTTCAGTTTGCTAAAGGACTGGCCCAGAAGTACGCTCTCAACTTGTGTCCTCAAAGAGGATCACTTTTCACAGGCCAGTGAATTTTACCCCTTGAATTCTGTAATAGGCCCCTTTAGGATCATCATTCCCTAGTGCCTAATTTCCAAGGGTTTATGTAAATTTCTGAGTATATTACTCATATATAGTATGGATGAGTATATTACTCATACTATATATGACTATATTAGTGTTGGAATACTAATGAGGCTAGTGGTATTTGGATCAGTCCAGAACTTTTAGACACCCTTCACCCCACAAGGCATCCCTGGTACATCATCAGACAGCTGTGCATGCTGTCCTTGCTAGAAGGCGGATTTGGATGCTGAGCTTCCCACCAAGGGTACAGAGGACACTGCAGGTGTGAGGAGGTCAGAGGGCCTCGAGTCAGCCCTGGGCCTGAACTCCTGAAGACAGTTCTGAGCTAGGGCCTGAAATGGTCTTCTCAGTGGGGAAGATAATTTCTGCTGTTTACATTGTGTTCCTGGAAATCAAGCTAGTCCTTATTTGCAAGTCACATGAATGAAACAACTGACTATTTCTGCCAAAGTGGACCTATCAGGGTATATCCTTTAAGCTACAAGCCATTTCCTTCTTTCTTTGCATCTAGTGAAGCTGGCAGAATGGTCTGATGGATGAAGCTTCTGGAACACAATATTCTAGTGGTTGTAGTCCTGACCGTGAATTCACGTGCCCTATAATATTAGACGTTTTCTAACCCGTGGCTCCTTCTCCCCAACCTGGGAGGGAGAAAATACTGACCTATCCCTTAACTCCAAAGACAGGTTGAGAACAGCAGTGAGTAGCAGAACCAGTCTGTGCCTCCCACCACCCTCAGCGCAGGGAAGCTGTTTTTAGCAAAGCATTGATGTGGGGATCCCCAAACTGTCTTGGGCAGCAACTACTTTGAGACTCTGGAAACAATGATAAAAAGTTCACTGTGTAGCAGCATCCCTGTCTCTTGGACATTGTTCCTGAGAACTTGGATTCATTTCTATAAAGCCCTGTGGAGAACTTGAGATAAGAGTTAGCAAGTTCATCCACATGGTTCTCTCTCAACTCATAGGAAGCCTGTGGGCTCCGAACATCACTGCTTGTAAGAAGAATGAGACGGTAGAAGTGAACTTCACAACCAGTCCCCTTGGAAACAGATACATGGCTCTTATCCAACACAGCACCGTCATTGGGTTTTCTCAGGTGTTAGAGGTACTTTCTCTCTTCATCCCCTTCACCCTGCCTTCCAGCTTTCCTTAGTGCGTTGACAGAAAATGGGGACAAACATGCTGGGCCATTTTGATGAATTCAACAGATAAAAACAAGTCCATGTGGGCATCCTGAGAGATGTCACTGTGACCCTCCAACCACAGAAAGAAAGAAGTCTCCGAAGCAGGAAACGAGCCCTTCTTCACACAGTCTAGTGAATAGAGTCCGTTTGGGAAGCAAAGCTGCTTTGCTGGAAGCCTTGGATCTACTCACTCATGTGCCTCATAATTCTTTTTTGAGGGGGTTGACACAGGGTCTCACTCTGTCGCCCAGGCTGGAATACAGTGGCATAGTCACAGCTCATTGCAGCCTCTACCTCCCAGGCTCAAGTGATCTTCCCACCTCAGCCTCCAGCTGGGACTACAGGCATGTGCCATCATGCTGAGCTAATTTTTTCATTTTTCATAGAGATAGGGTTTCACCACGTTGCCCAGGCTGGGTCTGGAACTCCTGGGCTCAAGCCATCTGACTGCCTCGGCCTCCCAAAGTGTTAGGATTACAGGCATGAGCCACTGCACCCGGCACCTCATAATTCTGGACTGTCTCTTAGCCATACCAGAACAAACAAATGCGAGCCTCAGTGGTGATTCCAGTGACCGGGGAAAGTGAAGGTGCTGTGGTGCAGGTAAGGTTCAATGAGCTGTTCTGGGGAGGGAAGGGACATAGAAGACTTCCACCATTCTTTGCTTTTAAGGATGAGTTCTCTCCTTTCAAGTGTACTTCTGCCAACAGACATGAATTAAGTGGCGTTAATGGGGTCTCCTTTGCTGCAACCTCTGCACTGCCAAGGTCAGAAGGCCAATGTGGCAGTCATGGTCCCTTTTGCTTGTATTAATGGCTGCCTTCCAAAGCACTTTTTATTTCCATTTTCTGTCGCAGACACTCAGGAATAGCAGTACCTTTTTACTTCCCCAAACCTTTAACTGCAAGGCGAAGCCGCAAAGGGTTTGAAATGGGAAGGTTTGAGTTCCAGTAAGTGTGTGAACTTTGGAGAGGGGCTGCCTGTCATCTCTGCCACAGCAGACCCAGCTAGAAAACAGGAAGTTTGAGCAGCAGGTCTCTTTCAACTCTAGTTTTTGAGGTGGGGATACAGGAGGTCCAGTGGTACACAGCCACTCCCCAGAGTAAGGAACTTCGTGCTTCGTTCCCTGGAATGTAAGTGCTCAGACATGCCAGAGGGGCCAGCCTATGATGGCTACTCTGCTTTTCTGGAGAACCATAGGTTTCCTTTACAGGGACTTGCATGTCCTAAAGCACTGGCTGAAGGAAGCCAACACGATCACAGCTGCTCCTTTTCTCTAGAGGAATGTTTGTCTATGTGGCAAGATATGACCTAGCCCTTTAGATAAGGGAACTGGTATGTTAGTAACATGTACAAAGTTTAGGTTCAGAATTTGGGAGTTGTGGGCATGTGGGTTTTGGGTTACTGGTTTTGACATTAGGGCTTTGTTATAGATGTGTAACCAAGCAGAAAGTGCATGATGACACTAGAGGTGGGGGGTGAAGCCGGAAGGAAGGGAAGTTTTAGCAGGAGTAGGAGTTGTGATGAGGCTTTACTGTGATGCATGGTGTGAACTTTCTGAGCCTCTCGTTTTTCCTCAGCTGACTCCGTATTTTCCTACTTGTGGCACCGACTGCATCCGACACAAAGGAAAGGTGGTGCTCTGCCCACAGACAGGCGTCCCTTTCCCTCTGGATAACAGTAAGTGCCCTGTCACTTCCACCAGATGATGAAGAGGCTTGGGAAACGCGGTCACTGACCCCCGCTCAGTATGTGGCAGGGTGTGTGTATGTAGGCAGTATGAGGGGCCCCTGCCTGCGTACACTGAACTGGCATGCAGAGAAAGCCAACAGTGCTGTCCCAGAGAACCTATAATCTGAGTAAGAACAGGCTTTATTTGTAAAACCACTCATGACTCTTTACAAAGCAGGATACACAGAAGGAAAAAAAAATACGTAGTGCACAATGTATGTTCTGAGTGCCACAAGGATCTGCTGAAAACAGCCAAAGGTGTAAGATGACTGGATATATAAAAGAATGCATATTTCACTATATTCTAATTCTTTTACTAGTCTCAGTGGCCCAGGATTCTGTTGACGTGGTCACATGGCCAACATTTGGATAACAAATGAGAAATAATGGCACCAAAAGACACGCCTCACTGGTGCCTGAGAACGGCATGTTCCAGAAAATGTCTCTGGAGTTAGAGATGTGTTAGCTTTCTCATTACAGATAGAGAAATACAGTGTTTACACAACTAGCCCTGGGGTGGGAGCAAAAGTTGGAAGGTGTCGTTAGACTCAGCCAAATGAAGTGAAGACAACCTAGGTGCCTGGCAGTCCTGACTTGTGTGTGGGCGAAGCCTTACAGATTCCTGAGCATGTTGTGCCTGAGCTTACCTGATGTTCTGGTGAGGCATGTGGCATTATCCTCCACGGATGTCTAACAAGACAGCCTGTAAAAATGCCATCTATATGTGCTACATATGTAAGCAGTTGTACTCAGAATAACATTCCTTAAGGAACAAAAAAATCAGACAGAAACGCTAGTTCCTACTGTAAAAAATGCCTGTGCATATCAGGATAAAGAAGCCAAAGAGATTTCAGGATTGTACTTAACTTCCTGGGTCCATATCCCTTTTGAGAATCTAATGCTAGACCTACACACACTAGGGAAAAAGATATGATTGGCAGACTCTCTAAAGAGGTTCTGACTGAAGGTTTTAAAGGGAACTAACCCCTACAAAGTGGCTGGGTGTGGTGATGCATGCCTGTAATTCCAGCTACTCAGGAGGCTGAGGCAGAATTGTTTGAACCTGAGAGGCAGAGGCTGCAGTGACTCAAGATCGTGCCACTGCACTCCAACCTGGGAGACAGAGTGAGACATTGTCTCAAAATAAATAAATAAATAAAAATAATAAACAAACCTCTACAAAGTACACAACAATCTTAGTTTTTAAGTAGGAGATAAGTGTGGATTTGTTTTCCAAAAGTGAATAAGCTTTGTTTTCTCCAGACAGAAGCAACTTGGGAGGCTGGCTGCCTCTCCTCCTGCCATCTTTGCTGGTGGCCACGTGGGTGCTGGCGGCAGGGATCTATCTAATGTGGAGGCACGGTAAGGGTTATAATTCTTTAAAGACATCCTAATAAGAAAATAACATTTTGAATTTTCTTTTTAAAGAAGATTCCTCTGGAGGCAATCATATGTTGGCATTTCCTAGAGTTAGACAGCACTTATTTCGTACCTTCAAGTGCTTCTAAGGAGACTGATAGGAGAATGACTAAGTTACACATGCCAGGTGAAAGCAGGGTCAGGACTTCCAGATCTTCTGACTGTCCCGTTTTTATTTTTACCATTGAGTCACCTACCAGTACTGAAATGCGCAAAAGATGGCTGACAAAAAATTACCCTTTACCTGTGAAGGTTACTCTATACAGATAGTTCCTGTTTTTTAAAAAACAGTTCTAAGGTATAAGAAAAACCTTCACTTGGATTTATATATAGTTAACCCTTGAACAACACAGGTTTGAACTGCGCAGATCCACTTACATGTGGATTTTTTCAATACATATTCTGGAAAATTTTTTGGAGATCTGTAACAATTTGAAAAAACTTAGGTGAAACTCATTGAATTTAGTTTTCAATAAAAACATTGAAAAAATTAAGAAAAGGTATGTCATCAATGCAGAAAATGTATGCAGATACTAGTCTATCATTTGCTACCATAAATATACACAAATTATTAAAAGTTAAAAATTCATCAAAACTTAAACATACACATACCAACTATACATGGCACCATTCAAAGTTGAGAGAAACGTGACCAAACGTAAAAGATGTGTTATTAAATCATAACTGCATAAAATTAACTGCAGTGCATACTGTCTTGCTGTTAATAATTTCCTAGCCCTCCTGTTGCTACTGTGGTGAGCTCAAGTGCTGTGAGTATCCACTTAAAACACCATGTGATGCTCATGATCTCCACACAAGCAGTTCATCTCTCCAATAACTTACATATCACAGTAAAAGGTATATCCAGTGGTTCTCCTGTATTTTTCGTGTTTACTGCAATATTGTAAACCTTAGGAACCACACGAAGTGGCACTAATAATGCTGGAAGTGCTCCCAAGAAGCAAAGTCATGAAAAAAAAAAACAAAAAACCTTTTTGTTACAAGAAGAAAAGCAAAATTGCTTAATATGTACCATTAATTGAAGGTCTGCAGCTGTGATGGTTCACCATTTCAAGATAAATGAATCCAGGTCAGGATCACAGTAAAAAAAGAAAACAGAATTCATGAAGCCATCATTACAGCTACACTAGCAGGCATGAAAACCTTGCAGTTTTTGCAGAATACCTTTTAATCTTGTATTGAAAATGCAGCTTTTATGTGGGTGTAGGATTGCTATAAGAAAGGTTTATCTGTAGACTCCAATATGATTTGAGATAAAGCAAAGTCACTGTATGACAAAGCAAAAGGAAGGCGAAGCATCTAAAGCTGGAGAATTTAATGCCAGTAAAGGATGGTTTGATAATTCAAAAAAGTGACTTGGCTCAAAAACTGTCAAGATAACAGGAGTAGCAGCTTCCGTTGACTGAGAGGCAGCCGACGAGTTCCTAGATGCCATTAAGAAAATCACTGAAGAGAAAGGATATCTGCCTCAGCAGGTTTTCCGTGCAGATGAAAGTGTTCTCTAATGGGACAAAAATGCCACAAAGGACACTGATTAGTAAGGAAGAGAAGCATGCATCAGGATTTAAGGCAGGAAGGAACAAGCTAACTGGACTGCTTTGTGCAAATGCAGTTGGGTTTATGATCAGGACTGCCCTTATCTATAAAGCTGCTAATCCCCTGGCCTTGAAGGGAAAAGATAAACACCAGTTGCCAATCTTTTGATTGTACAATAAGAAAGCCTGGACAGTGAGAAAACCTTTTCTGGATTGGTTCCATTGATGCTTTGTCCCTGAAGTCAGAAGTACCTTGCCAGGAAGGAACTGCCTTTTAAAGTCCTTTTGATATTGGACAATGCCCCTGGCTGCCAGAACCCCATGAGTTCAGCACCAAAGTCCTCAGAGTGGTCTACTTGCCCCCAAACGCAACATAATTTGGCCTCTAGATTGGGAGGCCATAAGGACCTTCAAGGCTCATTACACACAGTACTTTATGGAAAGGATTGTCAACACTGTGGAATCAATCACTGTGGATTGTCAACACTGTGAGAGAATGACATGGAAGTCTGGAAGGATTACATCACTGCAGATGCCATCATTGTGACAGAACAAGCCATGAAAACCATTAAGCCTGAAACACTAAATTCCTGCAGGAGAAAACCGTCCAGATGATGTGCGTGACTTCACAGGATTTACAACAGAGCCAATCAATGAAATCATGAAAGAGACTGTAGATGTGGCCAAAAAAAAGGTGGGAGGTAAAGGGTTTCAAGATATGGATCTTGGAGAAATTCAAGAGCTAACAGATACCCATACCAGAAGAACAAAGAGAAGACAATCTGATGGAAACGAGTGCCTTCCCAATCAGTGTGAGATGATGATGAAGACTACACAGAAGCAGTGCCAGAAAACAAATTGACATTAAACAACCTGGCAGGTTTCTAATTAGTCAAGATGGCTTTTCTTTTATAACATAGACCCTTCTATGACACAGGCATTAAACCTAAAGCAAATGGTGGAGGAAGGATTGGTACCATATACAAGTAATTTTAGAAAAATGAAAAAGTAAAAACGTCAGAAATGATGTATTTCTGTAAAGTTACACCGAGGCACCCAACTCTCCTGCTGCCTCTTCCACCACTAAGTCAGCAAGTCTAACCCCTTCCTCAGCCTCCTCAACATGAAGATGACAAGGATAAAGACATTTCTGATGGTACACTTCCATTTAATGAATTAGTAAATATCTTTTTTCTTCCTTATGATTTTCTTAATTACATTGTTTTCTCTAGCTTACTTTATCAGAATACAGCATATAATACATATAACACAAAATTATGTGTTAATGGACTGTTTATGTTAATGGTAAGGCTACCAGTCAACAGTAGCCTATTAGAGGTTAAATTTTGGGAAAATCGAAGGTCATACAAGATTTTCAACTGCATGCAGGGCTGGTGTCACTCCCCGCTGTGTTGTTCAAGGGTCAGCTGTACTAAGGACTTTGCCAACTTTAAAACATGGAGTATTTGAATACAGAAACCAGAGCATTTGCATACTCAGCTTGAGGTAGACATATTAAAAAAACTTCTCCATATGTAGAAAAGGAAATATAAATGCATCCTTTGAGATGTAAATAGAACAAGATTAACTCCATGTTCTTTCTAAGCTAAGAAAGCCACAGGGGCACTTGTACCTCAGGAATACTTAAATTTAGGGGATGCTGTCTGACCTGTATTCATTACAGGAGTTTCAAACATGGTTTCCGTTTTACAGCACCATATAGGGCAGAATTCCAGGTAAGTTCCAGGGTCTGAAAAGGGGTGCCATTTAACTTTGGGAACTATAAAGAAACTCTACCACCTGCAGGGAGAAGATGGTATAGGCACCTATTGAATTGGCCCAACTTAAAATGTGATGTGAAGTGTGGAAGTCAAGTGTCCCTGTTCATACACAGCACCAAAGTACTGAGGTTACAATCACCCACCACAAAGAAAGTATCTTTTATTTGTTTATTTATTTAGAGACAGGGTCTCATTCTGTTGCCCAGGCTGGAGTGCAATGGTGTGATCTTGGCTCACTGCAACCTCTGCTTCCCAGGCTCAAGTGATCCTCCCACCTTAATTTCCTGAGCAGCTGGGATGTGCCACCACGTCCAGCTAATTTTTGTACTTTTTGTAGAGATGAAGTTTCACCATGTTGCCCAGGCTAGTCTTGAGCTCCTGGGCTCAAGTGATCTTCCAGCCTTGGCCTCCCAAAGTGCTGGGATTACTGGTGTGAGCCACTGCACCTGGCCAACAAAGTATCTTAAACCTAAAGTTTCTATGAATTTATTTGAAAAGAGAAGGCTTAGTTGAGAGGATTGTTTTAGTGAGAGGGACTTAGAAAATACCTCTTTTAAAATAAGGTTTAAAAGTTAAGGTTTAAGCATCAGTGTGTTTCAGGTGATGTGTTCAAAGGGAACATTAAGGATGTTTTTCCTTGCTGTCACTAACAAGGCCCTTAGTGCTCAGCTGACATTGTCTAGCAAGGGATCATTTGTCAGGAATGGTCTACACAGAGTAGAAAGCCTGCTGTTTACTGTTCACAGATAACAAATACTTTTCTCCCCCGACAGAAAGGATCAAGAAGACTTCCTTTTCCACCACCACACTACTGCCCCCCATTAAGGTTCTTGTGGTTTACCCATCTGAAATATGTTTCCATCACACAGTTTGTCACTTCACTGAGTTTCTTCAAAACCAGTGCAGAAGTGAGGTCATCCTTGAAAAGTGGCAGAAAAAGAAAATAGCAGAGATGGGTCCAGTGCAGTGGCTTGCCGCTCAAAAGGCGGCAGTGGACAAAGTCATCTTCCTTCTTTCCAATGAGGTCAACAGTGTGTGTGATGGTACCTGTGACAAGAGTGAGGGCAGCCCCAGTGAAAACTCTCAAGACCTCTTCCCCCTTGCCTTTAACCTTTTCTGCAGTGATCTAAGAAGCCAGACTCATCTGCACAAATATGTGGTGGTCTACTTTTCAGAGACTGATACCAAAGACGATTATGATGCTCTCAGTGTCTGCCCCAAGTACCACCTCATGAAGGATACCACTGCTTTCTGTGCAGAACTTCTCCATGTCAAGCAGCAGGTATCAGCGGGAAAAAGATCACAAGCCTGCCACAATGGCTGCTGCTCCTTGTAGTGTGTGTACCCATGAGAAGCAAGAGACCTTAAAAGCTTCCTATCCCACCAATTACAGGGAAAACAAAGTGTCTGTGATGATCCTGAAGCTTACTCTACAGCCTACAAATAGCCTTAGTAATTAAAACATTTTATGGCTGGGTGCGGTGGCTCAAGCCTGTAATCCCAGCACTTTGGGAGGCCGACGGGTGGATCACGAGGTCAAGAGATCAAGACCATCCTGGTCAACATGGGGAAACCTGGTCTCTACTAAAAAAAAATACAAAAAATTAGCTGGGCATGGTGGCGCGTGCCTGTAATCCCAGCTACTCAGGAGGCTGAGGCAGGAGAATTGCCTGAACCCAGGAGGCGGAGGTTGCGGTGAGCTGAGATCATGCCATTGCACTCCAGCCTGGGTAACGAGCGAAACTCCGGCTCAAAAAAAAAAAAAAAACATTTTATGCCAATAAAATTGTTTCAAATATTGCTAACTAGCATTAACTAAAGAATTGACTAGTAGCAATTCTTATGCTAATTGACTAGTAGCTTTAACTAAAGAATTGAAACTACATTTACAACTTCAAAGCTAAATCAATTTTATACATAGAAATCAATTACAATTATAATTGAAAACTATAACCATTTTGATAATGAAGCAATAAAGTATCTTCCAGCCAAACATCTCCTTTTGCATTGTCCATGCATTCTAGTAGGATTATGCAGTGGTTGCATGAGGCTACCTGCTGATGAGACCCACAGGCCTTCTTAAATGAAGGGCCTCACCACATGAGAACCTTCAATTGCAACGCAGTAGACAGAACTGTTTAACTATTCTATGTTTAATTCATGAATACTAAATCTAAGAACACCTCATTGATTCACTCAATAGCATCTTAGGTGAAAAACCTGTTACATGCAAAAAAAAAAATCATTGTTTTTAAGATAACGAAAGTGGGGAATACACAATCTTTACCTTTGGAAATCTGGACTTGAATGGGTCCAATTTTTTTTTTTCTGTAATCCAACAGAAAATGAAAAAAAAAAAACAAAAACAACCAAAACTTTCCCCCCTATTTGGGATTCTAAGAGGACATGAGTCACGTCATAAGTGCATTTAACTCAGACAACATTAAATCCTAATGAAACACTAGACAAGGGAGAAAATGGCATGAGTGGACAGTTCTCCCTCATGACACACTAACCCTGATAACCATCCATATGAGGCTGCCTGCTGATGAGACTCATGAGCCAATTTAAATGAGGGGCTTCACCACATAACCTTCAATAGCAGCTTTCTCTTCACTGGGGAGTTTATGAGACCCTGAGAGAGGGCAAGAGAGTTTACAACTGAAGAATGAGTTCCTATTTATTCTCAAATGCCCTGACTAAACTGCTCAAAAGCAGTTTATAATTTGAAACCAATGCCATGTGCCCAATATATAGCTGAAATTCATTTACTGTCCATGACACTTAAGCATCTACATCAATAAATTACAAAACATATATTCTGTAAGTCTTTATACCAAAAAGCTTGTTTTTGGTCTTTGATGGTGACATTTCCTCCCCATTTACCACACAAAAGCAGCCCGCTCTCGTAACATGCGGACACCAAAGCGCTGCCACTCTCGCTGATAAATCCACAGCTCCTGTGTTGTATCCAAACAAGCCAACACTGCCCCTCCTTTCCATGCAATCAGCCGGGGATCCATGTCCTAGAGAAGGGATGAAGATATTTCAGTCTCATTTACTTGAATGTGAAACCAAGAAAAATCCCTGTTGAGTCAATCAATATTTAGTAAACCAGGCTTACTAATACATCCTGTATTAAAGACAGTAGGACTTATGTACTACAAGAATCTTTGTTTCAATAGCCAAGAAAACCTTTAAATTTTTATAACTAAAGATGCTGCTATTTACTACTATTGCGCAAATACCCAGGTCCTGTAAACAGGAACATAAAGAAATGACTTATTTCTAAGTTTGAGTGGAATAAATAGAACACCACAATCCCTCCCCCCTTAGGATTAGAAAGAAATATGAATATTTCCAGGAATTGTCATTGAGATTTAATGAAACGTACACATAATCTATTTATCAATTCCTGGGTTTCTCTTTCTTTTCAGAAGTTCAAACCAAAAAAGGTATTTAAAGATTATCTGATCCAGGGGCCAGGAGTAGATCCTTAATATAAAAAGATTAAACTGGAGCTGTTCTGGCTGGCAGGGCATGAGAGCAGTCGGTCCTCCCCTTCCCCCACCTGGTTCTTTAACAAAGGTGTAATTCAGTCACGCTAGTTTGGGGAGCATGGCAGGGGAAAGGGGCAGAAAACCAGTATCTTAGGCCAGAGTTCCTTCTACCACTTATGTGGCTTGCTGAAATTAATTTTTGCACTTGCCCTAAACCCTCAAGAACTCCTCAGACACAAGCCCATGCGTCCCAGGATTTGATCTGTCCACATATGAGGCTGGTTTCATTTGCATACAGTCCAACACGCACCAAGAAACAACCTACCTTAGGCCTTGTGATCACGTCCACATTTTCAATAATTCGCCTGAACGACGGTGGCATTTTGTTGAGAATTCTGTGCTGCAGAAATTCTTGAGCTTTATGAAACATCAAACCACCTCCCACCACTAGTATGGAGCTGTACATCTTCTTTTTGGTATCATCAGATGCTGAAAAGACAGTGATATCCTCCATGCTTCTTTTCCACATCCATAATTCTAGGCCAAGCCACCACCTCTTGCTTTGGGAAGTGCAATAGCCTTCTCAAAGATCTCCCTTCAGCCCACCCTCCACACTGCAGCCAGGGGAACCCTGCAAAACACAAATGTGGGTGTGTTACCATGCCACTGCAATCCTACTTGTAGGATTAGGATCAAAATCTTTAAAGGGACCTACAAAGTCTACTGTGGGTGGTCCTCACTGCTTCTCTAGCCTCATCTCACACCCTGCTTCTCAGCCACACTGGTCTTCACAGGCTTCTTCCTCTGCCCCATTTGTGACTGCTAACTGCCCCCTTTCATCCCCGACGTCTCTCTCAAGGGGTGCCTTCCTCAAGGAAGTTTTCCCTGCCTCCCACCTTCCATACCACCCCCTAGTAAGTAAAGTTTCTATATAAATTCTGCAAATTATTACACAAATGTGAAATTACCACTGGCAGGTGCTACAAAGTTGAGCTACAGGGCACTGACTGTTTAATAGTATTCTGCCAGTGGTAATTTCACACTTGTGTAATAATGTGACTTATTTTGGTCTCTTCCACTAGGCTATAAACCCATTCTACTTCATTAATGTATTCCCAACACCTGGCAATGCAAGCCAAGTAGGTGCTTGATCATTTTTCAATGAATATGTTACACTGCACAAGTACATCCTAGACTCAACCAATTCATTTCACTGGTATCTTGTTTCACTGCTATCCCCCGGTCTCCCCAGATGTGCTTACAACAGCAGTCTATGCTATGAAGGATGGCTTTATCCAGGCCCAGGGCTTTCCCTTCAAACAGCGAGATGGCAGTCTTTCTGGACATCAGTGCAGTGAGGGCCTCCTCAGAATCGTTGCCGGCCATCAGGCCGTCTCCCTGTGAGGACCCTAAATCTACCTCCTGGCAATGGAGTCTTTCTGGAAGATCAGAGGACTGGCCACGAAGATCCCCTTCAAATCCAATAGGCTTGGATGCAGACTTTCGGTCAGCAGTAGCTTTTGCAGACTTTAAATCAAAAGGACAACAAAGTAGGTGGTATTACTACAACAGAACACTGTTGATATTGTCTAGCTAGATTCCTCCCCACCCTCCTACTATGCGCTACTATAAAACAAAAGCCACCACTGCAATACAACAACTGCCCAGCACCCATTCCAGGTAACTTAGAAATGAGAGACGGTGCACAGACGACGATGCTCTGACCATTCCAAAGCAGTCTCTGGTAGGCAGGGTAGCTCTCAGAACTTTATCATCATTGGTTAGATTTTAAAAGTGAAATACCAGTGCAAACAGACTTTCTTCCCCTTACCCTGAGTTTTTAAGTGGAGTATTCTAGTCGGATTCATGGGCCGTGACTGTTAAGGAATTCTTACTTTAAGATCCTATCTGTCTATTTCATGCTTGCCTCTGGGCAGGAACAAAGACTAGAAAAATCTAGTCTCCATCACGAGCTGACGCTGTTTCATTAGTAGTCAAGACCTTCAATTTGTGCCCCTGTACCAGACATCGTATTATGGGGATCTGCTTTCAACAAAGGAATTCAGCTGTTTGGCTATGCCACGCACCTTTCACAAAATTAAGTAATAGGTGAGATTTTAATGAAAATACTACCGGAAAAAATATTCAGAAGTAAATAATGTATGTAAATTATATACACCAAAAGGAAAGTGTCATTAACTTTTAAATGTATGGACTAGCATTCAGAAAATTAATGTTTGCTGAATAGAGAAATCAATCTTCCAGATTTTAAACTCAGACTTCAGTTCATCTATAATTCTAAAAGCTGTATCAGTGTTAGTGTGCTGGAAGATTGCACTGACTGCAATGGCTTATTAACTCTGCACAGATTTCTCCCTTCAGGGACAAAACTCTCTCTTCTTCTACCAGAATTGCTATAGACCTGTTCTTGCTTGCTCTGTGTGGCCAGCAGGTAATGTTCATCATGAGGATCCTCAGGATCACCCTGAGATCTGTGCTGCAAAGTCGTCATTTTCTGTCCAACAATTCCAAAAGTTGCTGGGTAAAACAAAGCCATTGGAGCCTGTGCACGGAAGGAAAAGAGTGATCAACAAAAGATACTGCCTCCTAAAAAAAACTGATCCACTGAATTCTGTTCTGAAAACAAAACTGGCAGATCAGATTCTCTAAGTTAGACTGGGCAGTGTTTAGTTGCTGTTTAATTCCCTTTTGGGAGTCACATTATTTCTCTGGTGTACCAAAGGCCAGAAAACTCACTCATCACCCAACTAGATGGGTGATATGTCACCATATGAGAGAAATCTCAAAGCACATATAAAGTACCTCATCATCTACTTCATAATTTCTTGATAAGAATGATACCTTTCTCTCTAAATAACAACTCATCATATAGTGGCTAACTAGAAAGATGTTCTTCAGATCCATTCTAGTCTATACTCTACCAGTGGCTTAAATATTGGTTTAGTGGATAATCTATAACCAGTTGACATTCTGATCTCACAGTGTTTCCAGCAAGTGCATATTATCTCAGTTTGACTGGCCTGGATAACTTTCTTTGTACCCATGGAAATATACACCTATAAGTTACCTGGAGTTTTTCATCTCCTAATCGAAATTGGTAAAGCAGGGCAGGACAATCAGGATGTCGAATCTGAAATTCATGGTCCTGAAGCCCAGAGATGTCCTGATTCCGGGAAAAGACGCTGTCAGTGAATCAGTAAGAATGCATGTAAACTCTTCAAATTATGCTTCAGCCTCTCCAACATCTAAATATCACCTATAAAAAAGTCCATGTAGGCCAGGTGCAGTGGCTCACACCACTTTGTAATCCCAGCACTCTGAGAGGCCAAGGCAGGCGGATCACGAGGTCAGGAGTTTGAGACCAGCCTGGCCAATATAGTGAAATCCCATCTCTACTAAAAACACAAAAATTAGCTGGGCGTAGTGGTACAGCGCCTACAGTCCCAGCTATTTGTGAGGCTGAGGCAGGAGAATAGCTTGAACCTGGGATGCAGAGGTTGTAATGAGCTGAGACCGTGCCACTGCACTCCAGCCTGGGGGACAGAGTGAGACTCCATCAAAGAAAAAGCCCCACCTACAACTTTGTACCACTCTCACTATAACTTAATAAAACAGGAATTCAGCTGTACTTTGTTTCCCTATTTAACATTTCTGGAATTTTCACTGTTTGCACTGTTTTCTCCATTATCAATATACATTAGTACAAACAATGACCCAAATCGATAAGCAAATTCCCTCAGTAACTGGGAAATTTACAGTATTTTTATATTTCCCCAATTTTTAAAAATTTAGAGTATTACCTAAAACAGGTAAAAACAAGTCTTTTTTAAGATTTTCTATCTAAAAAAAGGGTAGAAATCCACATATCAATGATTGATTAAATACTGATTGTCTACAATACTAAGGAATTGCTTCAAATCGCAACATTTAATAAAAAGTCTGTGCTTACATATTTACCTGCTATACTCCTTACACCTAAAGGGTTATCTTCATCTTTTATCAGGATGAGAGAGAAATTTGCTAAATTCTGTTTCCTAAAACAATCAAACTATTTTCCAGAGCCTGAGGACACATCTTCACTGCTCTGACCTTAGCAAAAAACTGTCACTCCTGAAGGGCTTTAGCTTCAAGGCTTTATCTTGGATTGAAAGGGGTAGTATAATGCTGTTACATTTTTAAGTATCTTTTAAATCTCTTAAGTTTTTCCTAGAAACAAAAATAATCAGCAATATTGATTCTGCTCCCACCTGATCTAAATGACAAAAAGTTTCTTTAAGGTGTTGCAGAAGAAGACAATCCATTTTATTTGTTAACTGGCATTCTCTGTAAGGGAACCCAGCTCGCTGCATTAGCCAGTAAAAACATCTTGACACATCAGATCCTCCATATGCCAGACAAAGCCTAAAGTTAACAGAAAGGGGTAGATGGTTAATTTGTTGGTTAATAAGAGGAAAAGGTGTTTACACCATTAAGGGCCAGGCATGGTGGTTCCTGCCTATAATCCCAGCACTTTAGGAGGCCAAGATGGGCAGATCACTTGAGGCCAGGAGTTTGAGACCAGCCTGGCCAATAAGGCAAAACCCTGTCTCTACTAAAAATACAAAAATTAGCCAGGCATGGTGGTGCACACTGTAATCTCAGCTGCTCAGGAGGCTAAGGCACAAGAATCACTTGAACCCAGGAGGCGGATGTTGCAGTAAGCCACGATCACGCCACTGCGCTACAGCCTGGATGAGAGTGAGATTCTATCTCAAAAAAAAAAAAAAACAAATCTATTAAACACAGTGATAAACAGCAAGTTTCAAAAATGTTTGTTGAAAGGACAGAATCAATAGATGGAAGGGAGAAAGGGAACTTTAGCAAAAACCAGTGGAGGGGCACCTAAAGTAGTGATAATGTTTGCAAAATGTGTCTGAGAAACACAATACTCACTATTAAATCCGGCTCACTTCCAAGTCAGTATGTATTTATCATACGACAGCTGTTTGCTGGTCTACACTCACTCGCATATAAGGATGGCAGGCAATGACAGTATAAGAGAAGCTTACGGGAGAAATGCTTAGAGAAAGCTGTCTACTGACTGAAGGTTTCTACAATTTGGGAAGACAACTGCTATACTATTTTATTGGTAAGAAACCTGGGTTCAGCATTTTCTCCATAACCACTAGCACTGGATATTTTAACACATGAGCCAAAATAACTCACAATGGATTTTAGAATGTACTGGAACTTGGGGTGGGAGGCAGCAATTTCTCATGGACAATTTAGGCCCTCTTTTAAAGACTCAAACTACCTAACTGTGGAGGATGGGAAGAATGAAAGCATCCTGAGGGGCAGGAAGAAGCCCTCTCTGGAGCACACAATGCTGCAAGAGAACCCATACTTGCATTACCTGAGTGTGCTTATGGCTGTCTGGCTTGCCTGCTGAAGTATTAGCTGCAAATCTGGTCCTGATAGTTATTCTCTTTACCTGTCTATCATCATAAAGTCACACACTGAACACCACTATGACAAAAAATGCAGATATTCAAAAGGCTAGCCAGAGAATTCTGAAACATCTATTCTCTCCTATAGGACTTGCCTAAATAAAGCTCTGCAATAAGGGAGTGATTAGTAGCTCTATGCCAAACGACAGCTAAAGACATGAAGCTACCGTTTACACTTCCTCTATGCGAAAGCACATAAAACATACCAGGACTTTCAGGGGCTGCTGATGTAAATTCATATTAAGCAGTTCCAATGGGAAGGGTAAAATCATTTGTTTTAGCCTTGCTAGAATTTGCCCTTCCATAATCTTGCTGGTTTCCTATGCAGACTTTTGAATATATGCTTATCATTTTAAACTTGTGATTTTTTTGTTACTTATGGTTGAAAAGATTATGAGGGAAGAAGGAAGAGGGAATGCCACCTTCCAAGTTCCTTACCGAGTGTTCCGATGAGACACCCCATCCTCCACACAGCACACGCTTGTCTTCTGGTCCCCAACGTCTACAATACATGTGCTGCTTAAGCCACTTCCATAGGTGGCACACACAGACTCCTGATGGACCACGATCCCTGAAAAAAAAAAAAGCAGAGTAGTCATCAGCTGCAGAGCAGTAAAGATCCCAAAACAGATAATCAACTGAAGTGGGGCGCCTAGGGACCTCTGGGCAGAGTGTCTGAGAAACACTCATCTTTTCAGAATAAGCATTTAAATAAGTCAGTAAATTAGATTAAATCTGTTACTAAAGAAAGGAAATTCCATTTAAAGTAGGTTTCACTGGGGTATCAGACATACCTGAAAAACCCATCTTCATTAGTATCATATTCACTAGTTCCTTCACATGCTGTTTATTATAGATATCAGGAATTAATAAGATACATCTATAATACTAAAAAGAAAAACAAAGAAGAAAAGATAAAAGGGTTGACACTCAAGTCTAGTTAAGTCAAATTCACCATGCTTCTTTAGATAGAATTCCCTCCGAAGGAGTAGCAGCTACGGTTACACACCCAGAATAAATGCTCAAACCTCTGTGCTATCCTTTGGGTTTTATAAAGAAAAAGAAAATGCTCAAGTGTTTTTTCCTTGAAGTTATTAAAAACTTATAAAATGAAAAGATAACTGACGTGTCAACAGGTCCAAAGAGAAGACATAAAAATGAGCAAGCTTGCTGATCTGAGTAATAGAGAGAGACACCAAAGAAACAGAGAAGAAAAAAAGGCACCAGAAAGGAATTAAGTGAAGAAGAAAAGACATCCTCATGCCATCAAGATCCTCACCCTGAAGGCCAAGAATGCTTCAAGAAGGACACTATATTACAAACAACTCAGTAACGTGTACTTTTATTGACCAAGAATATTAAATACAATCCAAATAACTGAGAATTTGAGCTCACCTTTAAATCTTTCAGTGGGATTTCCAAATATTTTTGTATTGCATGAGACCATATTACTTCAATATCTGCCAGAACAGCTGTAAGAGAGCCCCCAGGGCCTGGGTGAATATTTAACTGACCTCTCCTGATAGGCCAGTGAATATTGTAACAATCCAGTGGATTAACATACAAGGCCTAGAAAAGGTGGAGAGAGATGAGTGCATGGTTAAAACTTTTCTCTCAAGGTTTTCTGGATTCATATCCAAAAATTGAACTGACATTTGCTGAATGTTAGAAATGTTGAGAGTGACGCAGAAAGGTGTGACTATCTGGTCCTCAAAGTAGGGTTACAGAATGCTAGGAAACAACTAGAACTGGGTGGCAATGTAAGTGAATTTTAGGAGGAGGATCAGGATCCTCTTCTTTCATTCTATTGTAAGGAAACTTCTTACCTCTTCTCCTACTAAATACTCAGGGTGATGAGATGTGTTTGTCCACTTATTTCCCGAACAGTGATCTAAAATTGCAGGTCGCATCTGCTTATTGTAGGAGCGTGCCTGAAAAGAAAAACCATCAAAAAATAATCTGAATTTATACAAGGTAGGGACAACATAAGGGACTCCTTTTCTTCTCTCTCACACACTAGATACATTGGCAAATTTTGATCATACATATTTGGGAAAATATTGACTGGCTGCAAAAGGATTCTCTTGTCCTTTTCTACAATCTTGATTTTTTTCCCAATTTTAACACTTAGGCTGTGATTCACAGCCAGTCCAAAATTAACACTATACTCTGCCTAAAGCTGAATTCAAATTTATATGTAATACAGACTCATGTTCTTTCCTATCATATTGGTTTAACATATTAAATTAAAGAATGTAGTAAGAACAGCTTCCCACCAAGATCCTGGAATTACATCTTCTCAGGTAAAATATAAACTTCCATCAACTTGCCTACCACCACCTTATAAATTATGTGGCTTGCCTAAGCTTTGATAACACTGACTCAGATATTCTGTAAGTAGTTATGAGGGGTTTTTCTTCCTTTTTAAGGAAATCCCATTTTGTATTTGCATGGTGCTAGAGGAAGAACATGGGAATGATATTATGATACAAATAGTGGTGATAAAAGAATAAATCTGAAGAATTGATCAAACCTGTTCAGGGGACACAGGAATGCGTCTTGTACCATTGGACATCTTTTTAGACCATATTGCTTGATCCACCATTTTAAGTCCATTCTGTCTTTGTTCATTACTTTCCGGTTTCTGGGGGAAAAAATGAAATATTAGCAGTATAAAAGATTTAATGAGAAAAGAAACAATTCAAAAACTACTAATTTAATCCATCCTTAGGAAATGCTCCTTCATCAACAAGTAGCATTTCCCTAATCTTTATCATATGTACTACTTTTAAGAATTCCCTCCAGCCTGGGCAACATGGCAAAACACCATCTCTACAAAATATACAAGAAATTAGCTGGCTGTGGTGGCACAGGTCTGTGGTCCCAGCTACTTGGGTGACTAAGGTGGGAGGATTGCTTGAGCCCAGGAGATGGAGGTTGCAATGAGCCAAGTTCACATGACTGTTCTACAGCCTGAAGAAGAGAGCAAAATCCTGTCTCAAAAAAAAAAAAGAAAAGAAAAGAAAAAAAGAATTCCCAGAAATCTTTTATTATAAATAAGTCAAAAGCAGCCCTCGCTATAAACCAATTAAAATTTTCAAGTGATTTTTCATAAAATTTCTCACAGCACTCATCAGAGCATACCGACTTCATGTTTACAAAGTACTTCAGAGACTCTGCCATACAATTATATAATGCTTATGTTTACAATTTTGACAATGTCACATTCCTTCATGTTGATCAGCAAGTATTCTCATTATAAAGAGAATATACATAAATATCTTTATAGAACTGTTTTTTTGATTTTTATTCCTTAAACATATTCCCTAAAGTAGAATTATAAGATCCAAAGATAAACAATTAAGCATAGACTCTTATATCAGCAAGAGTCTACACTTATTAATAGAGTCTATACTGAATAAGCTTAAACTTATTATTCAGTTTAAGCTTACAACTGCACTTTTGTAGAGTCTGCTGGTTACACTAAAAAATGAAACCCTAAGGCCTCTATCAGAATTAAAGAAACTTTACATTCCCAAAACTATCCTTGACTTAAAACTTCAAAGTACAAAGTGGATTATGATGTAATATATAGATTTATCACTGATCACAAAGAATTTCCTGATAATTACCATCTGCAACACAGGATAACGTAAATGCTTCCTGCAAGGAAATTTTTTTTTTGCCTTGAAATTATGGTTAATCTAAGACCATAATAAGTGCTTATTGCAACAATTTAATTTGCTAATGGATTGAAAAGAAGAGTTTGACTTATTGACTTAAACTAAGTATCTGGAAGAGATACTTACAGTTTAAGTATGATTTAACCAGTAAGTTTAAGCCTGTCAACAAGGACCTGAATGTATCACTTTGAGTGACAATTTTGTGTCTTCCAGTATAGATCACCTTCATCAACACTCAATTCACCCTGAAAGATTTACTTTTGTTGTAATTCTTTACATCTAAAGTCACTAGCTCCGATGAAAAACGAGTGACATTATTATTTTAAAACACAGCAAAGCTATGAAGATGTTTCTAAAAGATTCTGGTGTACTTAAGTCTCTAAGCCCTCCCAGGTAAACAACCTTAGGCTTTCTCTCTAGGTCCTCTATTTTTGACTTACATTTAGTCCCTCCCTTAAGAGCCAATTGTCCTTGTACAGGGGCTGCCCTTGTTGTTTGTGTCTTCGTGCAATGACGTGAGGAATGCTGGCAGGAAGAGTGTCTGTGGCTCGACCAATCCTTAAAGTTGTTGAACCCGGATGTATGACAATGATGAAGTTGCTCTGGATTTGCTGCAGATATAAAACATACATATGTGACCTTAGTAAATAATATGCAGGTAACAAACTTAAACAACATATATAAAACAAGCTAAACTAAGAAGTTGGCTCAAAGGTATCAAAATAATTCAGTAAAGGGAGTTCTTTGAGAAGTATCTACTTCTTCCTCTCTATATAAACACAAACTCACTGTTTATTATGTTCCCTTAACCTGAGTCATAGTACATAGCTCAACAAATATTTGTTTAAATGAATGAAATCAAAATTATCCACTACAAATTAACATACAGTTATTGAGCATTTATGTGACTGAAGAATGTTGCTATAGAATCTGGGCCCAGGCTCTGAATTCACAGATCTGTCTGCAAATTCAGAAGGCCAGTCCCTTGCTCTGGACAAAGTTCCTAACTCACAGTTACTGTGAGGTTTAAATGAGTTAATCATGTAACTCAGAGCTGGGCCACAGGAAGCATTCAAGGAATGCTGGCTCTTAATACAGTAAAGCCTTTCAAGGTAATCCACTGCCTTCACAAGAGGTCAGACTCTGTGGCTTACATGACCCTCATGATATGGCCCCTGCTAAGATCTTCAGTCCTCTTCCTTAACTCCAGACATCGTAATCCACTGGCTGTGCCTCCAACACTTCTTATCTTCTCTTGGCACAAGTCTCTTCCACACTGTTCTTCCTCCCTGAGATTCCCCCCTCCCTGTGGCTAGCTCCTAATCACCTTCAGGTCTCTCTTCAGATGTCACCTCCTTTGAAGAAACCCTCCCTGTCAGGGATGGAGGGTTTGAGGGCCCTTGCTTGAGGGTCCAATAATTCCCTCTGCACAAGACCATTCCATGCCATGCTCTGATACCTGTTGTCCTATGTCCAAGTGTGAACTCTCCCCTCCTAATCACCCCTGACAGAGTGGGAGAAACCTAGAGGAAGGGATTGAGCAAGGCCCTTATAGACCAGACCATCCAAGCAGTCTTCTCAACTAGATGGATGGAGAAACCAGGCCTGTGCAATAGTAATGGCCACTCCGGACTTACTGTGTGCCAGGCACCGTCACACTACTGATAGCTAACTAGCTGCCCTACTGGTTAGGTATTATCCTAAATCCATCTACTGGTGAGGAAGCTTGCTCAGAGATGTCCTACATGAAGTTCCGAGCAATTTATGCCTCCTTATGTCTTATGTGAATTCTACACTGCCGTTGCCTGTTTTCCTACATGAATGCTGTGTTAATTTAGTTACTGATCGGTAGGGGTGTGTGTGCATGTATACGTCTAAGGTCCTTTGCCTGGCATGCTACTGCAAATACTTTTTTTTGATTAGTTTAGTTTGGACTAATTGGGTTGTTTTTGATACACAAGTTCTTAAAATCCATTCAGACGAACGTACACCATTTCCTTGCTTTTAAGCTTGTAATGACTTCCGTTATCTGAAATTTCCTTAACAAAGGAAAAGACCTGAACCCCGAACGATTTCTTAACAACTACAGGCTGACGCTCCCAGTGAACCAGCCTGGTGCCAAACTCTATCTGCCACCATTTAAGCCTCATGGCAACTTGCGGGGCGGCAGGTATCACCGTGGTCTTTTCATGGTCGGGAAAGCTGGGGCCAGAGCTCGGGCCGAAGCGAACACAGCCAGCCGGTGGGGCAGGAGGGCGGGAAGTCGCAGCAGATTCCCTGTGGGGGCTCCGCCTGATTCCTGGCGCTCCGCGCTTCCTAGTAGTCCTCGACGTCCCGGCGCGCCACGACCCGGGAAGGAACGACCACCTCCGCACTCCCCACCAGGGCTGGGGCCTGTAGTGGGGACCCGAAGCCTCCCGCCGCCTCCAGCCCCCTGGCCAGCAGCGGAGGACCAAAGCAAGGGTACAGGGTTTTAACCCAAACCCGCCCCGAGCTGCACCTCTTGCAGCGACTCCGGCACCAGCGCGGGCACGATGGGGCGCTTCACGCCGCGTTGCTCCTTCTCCTTCTCCCCGCCCTTCTCCTTTCCGTTCTCCGTGTCACCCTTCTCAGCCTGGGTCATCGTGGCCGCCGACACCCACCAAACTGTCGCCTCAGCGACCGAGCGAGGACTGCCGGGAAAGGTCACCACGCAGGCGCACGGCCGGCTGCCCACCGTCAAGATGGCCGCCGCTGAGTAGCCCCAGAGGGCTCCGGGAAGGCTGGGGCGGGGCTGTCCGGCGCGGGGGTCGGAACACGGTGTGAGTTGGGTGGGTGTTTCTGTGATTAGTCCTGGCTGTAAGATGCTAGCAACATAGTACACATAGCTTTTTGAGCGCCTAATGGGGGTCGGCCGATAACCAGCATCTTATTTCGTTCTCACAGGCGTCTCTGCTCCTGGCTTCCCAGATCCACATGTAGTCTTTAGTTTTTCTTGTATGTCCTCATGTTCTGTCCAGCTTCTGATGTTGGGGTTAGGTCTCCTCCAGACACACTCCTTGGGTGGCTGTCCAGTTTCCTAGCTTTAACAATGAAGATGGCTCCCAAATAAATATGTCCAGGCAGAACCTCTCTGAGATGCGACTGATAACCAGTGCCTCTTGGTCTCTATCTGGACTGACTACAAGGCACTGCAAACTTAAATACGCCCAGAATGGAATTCATGATTCCCTCCCCTCTGACTTTCACCATCTCAGTAGATGTCATTTTAATTCTTCACTTGTCCACAGCTTCTACATCCAATCCATCAGTAAATCCTGCAGTCTCTCAAGTAGATCTTGAATTCGTCCACTTCTCTAATCCCATGCCACTACCATCTCATCTGGATGACTACAACAGCATCTTAACTTGAATTCCTTGTCCTGTCACCCTATGATCTATTCTTTTTTTTTTTTTTTGAGGCGGAGTTTCGCTCGTTACCCAGGCTGGAGTGCAATGGCGCGATCTCGGCTCACCGCAACCTCCGCCTCCTGGGTTCAGGCAATTCTCCTGCCTCAGCCTCCTGAGTAGCTGGGATTACAGGCACACGCCACCGTGCCCAGCTAATTTTCTGTATTTTTAGTAGAGATGGGGTTTCACCATGTTGACCAGGATGGTCTTGATCTCTTGACCTCGTGATCCACCCGCCTTGGCTTCCCAAAGTGCTGGGATTACAGGCGCGAGCCACCGCGCCCAGCCTGATCTATTCTTACATAGTTGCCCACGTTTTAAAATACGTAGTTAAGACAGTACTATGTACCCTGCACTCCACTTAGTAAGACTTATCTCAAAATTTAGATGTCACTCATGCTTTAAACTCTAAATGGTTTCCCTTTGCTCAAGGAACAGGATCTAACCACCACCTAAAGATCATATCTAGTTCTTGTTATATTTCCAATTTCACCTCACACTGCTCTTCCCCATTACTTGGCATTTCCAGCTATACTTGTTTATCTTTCTGACATGCCAAGCCCTTCCCATCATCAGGCTGTTGCACTTGCTGTTCATTTTGCTTTGGATGCTCTTCCCTCAGCTGACTTTCTCACCTCCTAAGTCAAATGTCACCTCAGGCCTTCTGCAGTTAACCTCTCATCATCCTATTTCCTTTGAAGCATGAAGCATTAGTCTGTAATTTATCTTGCCTGCTCACTTACTGTCTCCGCACTAGAATGTAAGCTCTGTGAGAAGACTTTATTTGCTAGTTATCTTCAGTATAGGTGCCCATAAGCATGTGTTGACTAAATACTAAATAAAGTACTCTTTAAGATAAAAATTTAATCCCCATTTTACAGGTAAGCTGAGATAAAATGGCAGAACCCACTCAAGATCATATTGAGTAGCAAAAACAATTGTTAAGCACAAGTACTCAAGGGCCTGCGTTTTACATTGTAATTCTATCACACTGTGTAATTCTATCACACTGTAATTCTATCTGAAGTGCAAAATAGAACACCTGAATGTCAAACGCAGCCAGGACTCTGGGATAAGACCCGAAGAACAAGTCCTGCAGCAGTGGCAGTGTTAGAAGGTAGAGGAGGACCATGGTTCAGATGCTCGGGCAAAGCCATCAGTAACACCAACCAACCACCTACTGAGATTACCATGGTCTCCCTGCTAGAGTCAGATGGAGGTTTAATAATGCCTCTGCGATTCACTGGCCATACAATCTAGGAAACTGCCAAACTTTACTGAACCCTTGCATGTATCTGTATAATGCAAATGTCATTATACATTTACCTCACTTTGTATATATGTATACGTTATACATATACCTCCCATTGTCAGAATTTAAAATGTATAAAAAATTACAGGCTGGGCAAAGTGGCTTACACCTGTAATCCCACCGTTTTGGGAGGCCATAGCAGGAGATCACTTAAGCCCAAAAGGTTGAAGCTACAGTGAGCAGCCGCTGTACTCCAGCCTAGATAACAGGGTGAGACACTGTCACCAGAAAAAAAATCTGATACATAACTGAAGTGGCCAACAAACTGTTATCCTTATCCTGAAACTTGCATTATAATTTATCCTGAACACTGGTATCTTATGCCACAATATCCCATTTCCTGACAAACAGGGTTGAATAAATGCTGATAAATCAATATAAAAAGGCTTTCACCTGAATACTTGGTTTCAAAGCCTGTTAAACACTAGAATTATCTGTATTCATTTTTCCAATATTTATTTCCAGTAAATACTACATGACTATCTCACATGTAATCACTATTCAAAGGACTGCCAACAAAATTTCTAGTCTAAGAGCTTCCATTCTAGTGAAAGAAAGTGAAAGTTATCAGTATTAAAATGGAGTTTAAAGCCAATAGGCAGTATTTTGAGCAGCTGTATAGAGTTCAAATTTGTCAAGATAACATTGAAGACCATGATTTTATTTTATTACTATTATTTTTTTGAGACAGGGTCTCACTCTGTCGCCCAGGCAGGAGTGCAGTGCTGTGTTCACAGCAACTTCAGCCTCCTGGGTTCAAGCAATTCTCCTGCCTCTGCCTCCTGAGTAGCAAGGATTACAGGCACACATCACCATATATGGCTAATTTTGGTATTTTTAGTAGAGATGGGGCTTCACCATGTTGGTACGGCTGGTCTTGAACTCCTGATCTCAAGTAATCTGCCTGTCTCAGCCTCCCAATGTGCTAGGATTATAGGCGTGAGCCACCACACCTGACCCAAGTCCAAGAGTTTAAAGACTATGTAGTAAATCTTCATTTTTGTAGCTCAGTTTTGTTAGCTATGACTTTATAAATACCCTGGATCATTATATTTTGTAGCAAATCAGACAAAATGTATTAAAGATTCATGAGACAAATATATTAAAAAATTAATTCAAGAGCACAGATGATATGCATACTACCAAAATAAATACAATGTGATTTATAAATGAGAAAAAGTTAACAATGAACGGTATTTCAGAAGTTGAAAAGGTGACACTAACAGTGCTAAATACACAGGCTTTATTTTCTTCAGTTTTTTCATGAATTTAATATAAAGATGAGGAGTCCATTGTGCAACCTAAAAATTTACTTATTAATAAACTATACAAAAAGGTAATGAGACAAACATGTACATTTATGGAACTGCATGTCAGTCAGGCCAGTTCCCTGCAGAGGGAATTCCTGGCATGACGTCATTCATCTGTGAGGACACAGAACAGTCCTTGTTTAGACATACACATTCATCACTTCTCAGCATGATCAGCCTTCCACTTCTTGATGGTTTCCTTCTGCTATGAATGCACATGTCCAGTTGTCTGCTTCTTAGAGCAGACATTTACCTAAAAGAAAATGTTATAATAATTGGTTACTGGTTATTAATTTGGATCTGGGTGAAAAGCCAAACATATTACATGTTATAAAACCTTTCTCAAAACACATTTTGATAAGGCCAGTGAATATTTCAAGGGTTAAGATAACAAATATATTTGCAAATAATATCTGAGTACTTATAAACTGTTGGGTAACTTCTTAAAGAATACATTACTATAGAAGCATTTTCAAAACAAAATCCTACAAAATTATTTCAGATCTGAAGTTACCTTCCTCATCCACCAGCCATTGGAGGAGGACTGGGGCCACGCAGATGATTGATTCTACCCATTCTTCGGGGAGGGTTTCCTGGTGGCCTAACAAAATAAAAAGTAACTACTTTTTGATAGACACGACTTTAACTGCATCCTTTCAAAAGCACTCAACTAGACCCTATTCTTTTTCAGCACCCGCATGACACTAAAACATTATTTAAAATAAAAACTACCATTTTAGGTCAGGAGGCAAAAATTCAAACACTTAAAGGGACCAAACACATATCGTACACAAGGAACTGAGTCAAGAAAGGACTGTGATGAACTGAACAGCACCTCCAGTAATGACCCCCTGAAATCCAGCTCCAGCTGATTTTTGCCTCATGGAAACATAAGCCTAGCCCAGTGGTACCTGATCTTTTAAGTTTTTAATTAGCAACTGGAAATCCAGATTTTAAAATGAAGTCTTTAGATCTTAATGCTGGCCATCACTTTTCATCCTCTCATTTAGACTTTTTTCCATGGGATATTTTATGTATATTTTAGCTTTGTCAGATTAACTGATTATTCTCAAATCAGAGGCAACTTGACTTTTAATTTACAATAACAGTAATTTTGTAAAATAGAATTTAAACTTTTGCTTTCCACAAATCTAACTCTACCTAAAATATCTAATTTAATCAAGATATACAAAGAGATAAAAACAACAATTATCAATTTAAAAAGCTGTACCCTCTTCCATCATCATATCTGGAATCAGATGAGTTTCCATAGCTTCTTCTTTTTTTCACGTCTTGCTGAAGCAGAGTTTTGAAACTGAAACAAGGGGCAGAAACAACAAAGGTATCACTTTTGACAACATTCTAAATATATTTCTGTGGTTTTTAACTGTCATCCCTATGAGAGGATTATAAACCCATTTAGCTCCCAACCCACATTTCTTGTAGCCAACTGGACCATACCATCTAACTTAAGCATGTGTCCATAAGCTGAATGTGGTATGTTGTGCACCAAATCTACCCTTCTTTGTATTTCTTATTTGCTAATAACTCCCCTAGACAAAGCATGAAACCAGAGTCATCCCCTACCTCCACTTTAAATCAGCCATCAGGTTTTTACAGCGTCTCATGTTCATTTCCACTGCAAAAGTCTACCTAACATCTTGGGGAAGGAGGTATGCCATACCACTGAGGGTGGTATGGCAGAGGCACAGGGCTTCTGGGAATCCATTTAAATGGAATTTTTAAAAAGTGATATGTAAAATGACATGGATTTAACTGAGGTTACAAAGTATTTTTATAAACAACATGGAGTAGGTGAAATTTGTATGTAAAAGACTAAGTTTTACATTGGGTAACTCAGGGCCTCTCTTGTGCCTTGTATTTTTCTATGGAAACATCTCTTCCATTTTACATTCTATGCCATCTAATTTATGCTATATACAGCCATAAAATTAAACTTTCTAAACCACAGCTAAGATCAAATTAAGCATAAAGACCACAGCCTGATACTCAAAACTTCTCTGCCATCCTTCATTTGGTTTCCTTTATCTGGCATAACTTCCTTTGATTTTCACCTCCCACAGTCCTGCCCACCCGTGCACATGAGGATATTTACTGATCGTAAAGTCAGTAAAAAAAAGGGTCTGTCTCCCACATCTTTGAACCCCTACAGTTCTCAGATCATGAGACACTGAAATATATGTTCAAATTTAGGAATAGGTAAGACTTCTTAATTGTTAATGAACAATTCTAACAAACAGCATGCAAAAGACCAAAAAATGCATTTAATAACTGCTTACAATTATGAAAACATTTAAATATTTGTCTTCTTTACCAATTCTAACCCTTCATTATAAAAAAGTTCACTACTTAGGAATATTTTTAAAAACTAGGATATAAAACTCTTTATTTTATAATATGGAATAAAAGTTGCGCGCATGCGCGCGCGCGCGCGCACACACACACACACACACACACACACACACCCCTCCCCTCCGCCCCCGCCAAGAATAGTAGAGAGAAAGTGAGGCTCAGTCATTTAGCATTAGAATGGACAGACCCAACCATAGGTTGAAATGGTTACCACCAAGGTTAAGACATGGTCAAGTTTACCAATCCAACTAACATA